CTTAAAACCATGTTTACTTAAAGTGTCGTTAACTGACACATCATATCAAAGTGGCCCGTGTAACCATTTTGATTGACCAGGTATGATCTAGGAGAAGTTTGAGTCCTTAACCGCATTATATTTTGATCTCTGAAGAAGAAAATACTCACTGTGAAAAAGGGAAAAATCTTCTTCAAAGTCATCGGTCTTTTATTGTAACTTCTAGTAGGTTATTGTAACATAAAAATAGGTTATGTTTTAATTGGAACAAATGTTACATTAAAGCAAAAATGATAATAAATGATCAATTTTTAAATCAAGAATTGTCTCACCGAGTTACGAGTCATAAAATCCATATTTTTTTTAAAGGGATCAGTGAAAATAAAAAGCTAGGCAACAAAACAATAAAACTCATAAATAAACAGAAGAGGTAGTAAGAAAATTTTGATTTAACAAAAATTTTTATTATGAACTCACAAGACTTGAAACTGACATGCCTAAAAACATAACAAATACTTGCACACATTCCTTTAAGAAACTGCCTGCAAATCACAATTACAATTTTACAGACTCACTAAAAAAACATTTTAATATTATTAAAGGTTAAAAATGTGTATTTTTAAATTAAATTTTTAATTTACATCCCTGATGTTTTATATCACAAGATCTAATAGTAGATGATATCATACAACACCTACTCAATTTATATACCAATAACAAAAAATATATGTTTAAGGAAGGCTTGAAGAAATTCATAAGCTCTTAATTTTTTTTAAATTCTTTGAAGAGTGGAAGATTGAGTCTCAAAAGGAAAATAAGTTCGTTTGCTTTATTTAAGAGTGATTTTCCAAATTATTATCAGATTTTTAAGTTTAAAAAATTCAATATCATTATAGAAATTACTATTCTATAAATTAGTAAATAAAATTCTTCCCTAATCAATTATACTATTCATAAATATTTATAGCTCAGTCCCTTTTCTATATAAAAGAAATATAATAAAAAAACTTAAAACATTTGATTTAATATTCTAAAATAAATGAATTGCAATCTTATCAATAGCAGAGTTGTGGCAGTAACCGTTTTCTTATTTAAAAAATAATAATAATTAAGAATGGTAATACATAATTTGATTTTAGCAAAATACAGTAGTTATTTGTACATTAAGTCAAACTTATGGTATAAAAAAACAATAAAATATGATCTATAAGAATAAATACTGCAGTGATATCAGTTAATCAGTACACTAATTTTAAGTTAAATATTAATGCAAACCAATTAGACATTGAATAATAATTTTACTATTGAAAAGCTGATTATTCATTTTTACTCTGAGTGCAAGCAAGACTTAGGAAATTTTTTATTTAATGTCTTTCCTAAAACCAAAATTCAAATGCTTGAATAAAATAAACTTGAAGAACATTCTAACCTCTAATCATACAATACAACGTAGTGCTGTCAACCTTTCAATACTAAAATACTACAAATGAGAGTTTTCTATATTTCTAATCAGAAATTTTCTAATGACTTAATACATAAAATTTTATGAATAATTAGTGCTGCTCATTCCAATTAAAAATTAGCTTATGCCATGGGATCTTTTAAAATTTTTAAATCAAACATGAACTTAGTATCCTAAAATAATTTGCAGAATAAAAATAAAGTGTATAACATAAATATTTAAATACTGTTTGGGAAGATAAAATAGTAACCACACTAGAAAGATCTGCATCATACTATTTTTAGTATTGTTGTTAAGATTGGCTGGTTGTGAAAAAGACAAACTTGTGGACCAGATGGGGAGAAGGGAGGTGGATAGCGAAGGTATTTATGCATGTGCCATTCTTAAACATCACGATTTTCTTTTTAATTATTAACTAGGATTTTTTTAAGACATTTTAGTACAAGAATAAGGGAAATTCGTAACAATTTCTCTAAACAATAAGGTAAAAAAGTTTTCATATTTTTGGTATAATCAACTTATATGTTCATAAGTAATAACCATGATTAATAATTAAAATATCTCAAAAGCTTACATAGTTCTCAGACTGAAGAATCCCACAACAGATCCTGATTAGCCAGAATAATGTGGTCAGTGTTATTCTAGATTATTAAAAAATCCAGAAATGGTATTTAATGGCTTAATAAAAAAAATATTATAAAAAAAAATGCTTTGAAGAGTTATAAAAAATATAAAAAGAGAAAGGTACACCATGAAAAGAAATAATAATCAACTTAGGTTTTAGGTTCAATAGACATGAAAAACAAAATAGAACGGTGTGAAAAGGCTACTAAAAAATTTTTAATCTATTTTACAAGAACTGTAAATTAAATGAAAAGTTTTTTGGGTTCCAAAAAAACATTTATAGAAGTTTTAATATCACAATATAAAATAGAACAGTTTAAAATACCTGATACAAGTGCTATCTAGTGAACGGTGTTAAGATCACCGACTAATATAAATTTTCAAACTATAAATAGAGGAAGAAAATAGATAAATAAAAACTTATCAGTCTTTAAGATTTACATATCAGGCTAAATTTCATTTCCAAATTCTAAATAATTTTTAGTGAAAACCGATTTAAAATAATAAAATAAACAATAAGAATGTACTAATCCTAAGCATGGGCTTTACATATTATAGAAATGTATGATGATCATGAGAACAAAGTGATATGTGAAATTCTTTAACCACTGTGGTTCACTACTGTCAGATGTGATTTTACAGTGATGCAACCATCAGAAGGAGAAAACATTCTGGAATATAGTAAATCATCAGGGAGATCACAATCACTATAGCTACATTGCCAGATACAGAATAATTACGTGAGTAATATATGTTATTCATTTGTGAGCACTATATTACTAAGAGAAAATTAAGTAGATGCTTAGTTCTCAAAAAAATATAAAAACCAGAAACAACTTATTTTTTTACTTGTTACGAAAAAATTACAACAAATTAAGTTTGATTGAACCAAATAAGGCAATTTTCAACACAAAAAATAATTCTCCATTCCCTAATATTTCAGAAAAAGACAGCATATGTGAGAAGAAAGTAAAAAATTATTTCTGAAATTTAGATTTTCTTTGTCATACATTTTTTATTACATATTGTCCAAAACACCTTCAATACTAAAATTATAACTATTGTTTAAATCATTTTATTGAGACAGTAGAATCTCATTTATCTGCAATAAAGTGGCCAAGGCTATCCCGGGTGAGACTGTGTGATAGGTAAATAAAAATTGTTGATAATAATTTTATTTGTTAAAATAATCAATATTGATATACGTAAAACAATGTTTATCCAAATTCACCTTATCATAAAAATCATAACTTTTTCTCCACTTTCGTTTATGAGTACTTTTATATTAACATCGTCTAAATATTTAATTGATTTGATATGTAATCCTACATTTTTTCTTGATACTTGTTTTCCACTTTTTTTTCTTTTGGCGATGTTTAACCATTGATTACCAGTAATACATGGACATTACTTGGTCCTTTAATTTTTAATTTATTTCATTCTGATATTTTTTAAAATGTTATTGAACCTAATTAAAGCATTATCAAAATATTTTAAAAAGTGTAAATATATATATAATGACTTTAAAAATATATAAATTTTTAGTTATATAGATAAATACACATATAATCATTACAAATCATCAAGAAGGCAGGAAAGAAATGTAATAAAATTATTCAAGAAAAAAATTATTTTATCATTCTATTTTTAAAAATTTATCATTATAAATTGTTATTTTAATTTAAAACTTCAAAATTTAATTTAATATTAAAATTAATTTTAAATTAAAATTTCATAACAATACACAATCCTACTTGTAAAGAGCAATTAAACTTGTTTTTATTTATTTACAAGATGTTTCTGGTCTTTTTACTTTGGATTCTATTAATAATCAATCAATTTTGCCGAGGATACATATTTATAATAATAGGCACTCAGTTTTTTTTTTTTTTTATAAGCTTCTTTTTTCTATTAAACCTGCACTAACATTTACAGAATTAATTTGTGAAACTCAATAGCAATGAAAGTAATAACCATGAATGTATATTTCTCGAGACATTTTCACATCTACTTCAGTATTAATCACCATTACAGAAAAATATTACTGAAATGCAATTATAAAGGTTTTTATGTGTGATTGAATAATACAAGATTTGGTCAATCATTTGGTCATCCACCATTCATATGTTAAAAGTAGTAATATCTATATTGAACGAACTCCATTCAAATTGATACAATTAACAGTGAAACCAAATTCATTAATAATATTGTTAAATACTGTGCCACTACCATTAAGCACTTAAAATAAAAGCACCTATAATCAAAAAACCTCTTAAACTTTAAACCCAATGAAACCTATTACTATCCATACTATATATTCAATTAATCTTCATAAGAATTTATAAGTAAAGTGAATCGAAACTTTAATTCAATACCTCTGGTAAAGTAAACTTTAATTGAAAAATAAAATATATTATTTATCATTAAAAAATAACATAATAAAAAATCAAAAGCCTTAACGAACGTTATTGCTCCTTAGAGATTGATATTGATTGTAGCGTACTTATCAAAATTTTCACACATCAAAAAATGAGTGCTGAATTCATTATTAAAATCCAATTGCTTTATATACCACTAATATTGTGAACACATGCTCCAAAGAGCAATTACACCATCCAATATTGGGTGCAATTTATATTTACAATATTTACAAGCTTACATAGGAGGGAGAAGTGCTACAATGAGATCAGACACCAGTGGCAGGAGAGTAGTGCTTCGGGAGATACCCAATTTTTGTACAAATTCAATTTATATAGGTATATATATATAGATATAAAATAATAAATTGCTTGTTTGTAAGTGAAATAATAAATTAACATATTACACCCATTATAATATTTTGCAGTTTTTATTAATTAAATTTTTTATAAACTAATTAATATTTTGTTACTTTGGTATTATTTTAACGAAAATAATTTCTTACAAATAATAACTAACCAACAAAAAATATTTTTAAAAACTGGAGTGGACATATTAATACAAAGTTCTAAATTCATGAGACTAGTTTCTAGAAATCACAATATTTTGATAGTTAGGCAAGTAAAAGGCAAGCGAATACCATGTAAAGAGCCACATCAAATGTTTTTTTGCCTTGAAATGCCTAAGATTAAAATAAAATAAAATGAAGTTTAATTATTTAACAACGTAATATACAACTAAGCAAAAATAATCGAGGATGATATTATTGCACTACAGTAAGACAATATACTAGGTATATTTATTTATAAAAATCCTACAAATGAGGCCTCTTAACATTTTATTTCACAGTTTATATACACTTGTCCCTCCATTTACACATCCCCTTTTTATACATGAATCCCTTAACAAACTACAATGAATTGAAACAATAAATAAGTAGTACTCACTAAACATAATACTAACTGATGTGATCAGAACTTGTTTGTACAGAAAACATATTTTATCCACAACAGGAAAATCAATAAAAGCTATTTTTTTTTCCTACAAGCAGGTTTGTAATTATTCAAAGCCTTGTATGTCATACTACCCATCATATAAGAATACATAGCTTTAGGTTATACTAACTTTTATCACACATGGCTGTGTTTATATAGAAAATAATCTCTATATAAATGAAAAACTGGTATATGCATATTTCAACATATACATATTTTTAATTCCTATTTATGGATGTTCAAACTGGAGTGAACTATTCCAACTGAATCAAGTAATCATAAATACTGATATCAGATAACAAATCCGAGATTCAAATATATATATATATATATATATATATATAATTTTCAAGTAAAAATACTTAAAATGAAAATAACTCCATTACATTTTATTATTTGGATTACTAGGCCCCAGGCACCCTCATTTATATATGATGGGTTAAGTTGAAAGTAATCAAGTGAAATATTGATAAAAATAAATAAATAAACAGTCAATTCCAATCATTATAAGTATAATTTTATACCTTTATGTCTTACAGATGTAATAAATATTATATAAGATATAGTATTTTTCCCATCAGTAAGAAAAACACCACTATTAAAACATTCATGAAATCAAGACTTTCAATTTATATTAATACTGAAAACGGTGAAATATAAAAATAACATCAATGATGCTTTTTTATTCAGGGCATGAACAGTATCATTTTGGAATGATGCCCATTTTTAAAAAGTTAATTAATAATAATAATTAATCTCCATTTTAGAGTTATCATAGAAACTAAATGCATTTAAAAAACATGTGTTTTTTTAACTTAATTTTAAAAAAAAATTTGAACAAATTTCTCATAAGAGTAAAATATATTTTAATAAATTCATAAACATTTATAATGTATCTGTTAAGAAATATGTAACTATGCAATAAAACTTGATTAGCCAGTATTGGATTAAATATGTTTCCTGCTCTCAGTTGCCTATTTAAAAGAAAAAATGAATAAACATATCAACGAATTATTGGTACATTTAATTTTAAATAATTGATGAACAAACAATTAATTGAAGAAGTTTTATTAAGAATGAACTTGCTAAATAAAAATAATTTATTCAAAAGAATTAGATAAAATTGAATTTAGATTTTGATCTGGATTACTATCATCCAATGAGTTAATAAGCGACTTGTTTTAATATAAAAGCAAAATGATATATGTATTCAGAGACTAATAATTTTGTAAAATCTTAATCCCAACATAGATATTTTGTTTTATCATACACAGAACACTGATAAATCTAATATAATATTACAAAGGAACAAGATGATAAAAGAAAATCACATTCAAATTAAGTAGTACTAAATCATATTCTACAAAACCTATGTATGCATTTGTGTGTGTGTGTATTCATGTGTGCAACTATTAACATACCTAGACTAAAAAATATATAAGCAACTCAATAAATATCTACAATTTAAATTAATCACTGGTTAAAAATTACATTAATTTCTTTGATTGGCTTGTACCATATGTATAACTTATTATTTTTAATATTTACCCAATATAAAAGAAAGAAAAAAAGAATAAAGCAAAGAAGAGGTACTCACAGAAAGAAAAATATAAGAGACTAGAAGATGAAACTAAAATTTATCATATAGTAAATAAGTTACGGTGGGGAAAACGCAAACAGATGAATTGAGGAAGGTGATGGAGGATCTTGTTCTGGAAGCTGTTCTGAATAATACTGAGGAGTACTAAGGTAGTCGATGAGCCTCCTAGGAAGAGGTAACCGTGGAATTAGATCTCTTCTCACAGCCTTGACAATCACGAACCTAAAGAAAATAGGATACATTAAAATGTGATAAATTAATAACACTAACTGAGGACAATTGCTTTGTTACTGGTTATACATTGACAGTGTTAATTAGTAAGTCAATAAGCCAAGTGTTTTTGAAGATTGTTTGTTTTATTTTACAAGAATTTCCAGTTTCTAGGAGAGATTTAATTACTAAGACTTTTCTTTGGGGAGGAAGCAACATACTCTAACCAAGCAACCATAACATTCTGACAAAATGTGATTGTTCAAACAATCATGAAATAATAAAATTTGTATGGATGGTATCAGAGGACCCACATAAAGAATTCAGATGGATAAAAGATAAATGGATTTTATCTATTAGATAAAAAGAATTATTATTGGAGATGGTTTATTGTTATTCACTATGATTACATACAGTCACAGTCATAGAAATTGCATCAACTATTTCTTTTGATTCCATTGAATGTTTTTCTTTACTTTTTAAGATTAAAAGAAAACTTTAACAATGTTTCACAGTTCAGTTTTAACTAATGCCAGAATAAAAGCTGTAATTATGACTGTTATCAAAACCTCTCATCAGAAAACATTAAAAGTGTGACGTTACATGAAGTAAAGGAATTTTCACGAGAAATAGCAACGGTACCATAAACCAATGATTGTCATAGTTTTGAAGAAAAAAAAGAGCACCTTGGAGTGAAAGAAAGAAACTGGGAGGAGAAAAAAAACAAACAAACAATTTGACCAACTAATGGTGGAATTGTTTTTAGAATATCGTTTCAAAAATGGCTAAGGAATATCCGAAGATCTTGCACATAGCAATCTAGTAAATAGAATAACATTTTTACTGTTATTAATATAACAAGGTCATAAAGGCAATATGACCTTGAGTGTAATTCTTAATTATAAATTTTGGGAGAAAATTCGAATATATATCTGAAATGATAAAGAAAAAAAAACTTACCTGCACAGATGCTGAAGGGATTGTACATGTTTGAATCTTGATACTGGGTGAAGAAGTTGAACCCTCATAGGTCCCAAAATGGGCCGACGGTGGAGAAAAAATAAATACCTTCCACTCCGGGAATGTTCTACAGCAGTCTCAATAAATTCAACAATCGTTTGACTTTTGAATTTAGTACAAGAACCAAAACTAAAATTTCCTGACAAAATGAAAGCCAATATAATCGATCTAATTATAAAACAAATAAAATAACTAAAAACAGAATAAAATAATTAAACTACATGTTTTAGATAATTCAAGTTTAAAATATACCTTGATCATGCTCAATTCGCACATGTCGGACACAACCATTGAGCCTAAATGTAAGAGAAAATATGTAATGGTGATCACTTGAATCACGCACAATGAATGATCCATCGGGTTCATTGCTCAGAACTTTTTCAGCTGCCTCACCACTTATGGGACCCCAATACCATCCATACTGAAATCATTTTTAACATTTCTACTAAATCTATTTTAAAAAAATGTTATTTTATAAAAACCAAAAAGGGAATTATAATTTAATAAGGCACACAATTATTAAAGACAGTTTACTTTGTAACATATATCGCTCAATCACAACATTTTAATTCAAAAATCATAATTGAAGAGAAGAATGGTTGAGGTGTATCAGTAAAAAAAATAGTAAAAATAAATATAATTATTTATTTTTACTGATCATCCCAACCATCCTTCTCATTGATTATTCACTACAGTCAACCATCAATCCACAATCAAAAATCATAATATTTGAACTAACATCACAGGGACAATGATATAAACTTTTAATTAGTGGAATGTCATTTCTGAGCTTTAAAGGCAAATAGTCCAATTTTTATTTTGACTTACCTATAGATGAGATATAAATTAAAGTAAAGAATTGTGATCGTGAAAAATTTTGAATCAGAGTTTTGAATGGAAACACATGTTTTAAGCTTTCCTGAGTCTAAATAACTAAGTCTCACAAAATGGTATCTGTCTGTGTATGTGTCAGTAAACAACCTGGCTCAAAAATGAAAAGTGCTATAAAACTAAGATTTTGTATTTAAGGTGAATTTTATGAAAAATAATATCTAACATATAAAGTTGTAGAAGTTAATAGAGAATGCTAAAAAAATAATGACTAATTGTAGTGACTTTCGTCCACTTGTATATTATTTAATGGAAAATGAAGACTTCCAAGGAAACTTAATGGAATTCCTTTATCAACTGAATAGAAACTTATGTAAATATAGCATTTCCAAGTCAATTTCAACCTTTTCCAAGTCAAATTCAACCTTTTCCAAATCAAATTAAACTTTTTCCAAGTCAAATTCAACCTTTTCCATTTCAAATTAAACCTTTTCCATTTCAAATTCAACCTTTTTTTATTTATTTAATTATCTTTAATTTTTCGATGTGTGGGTCTGTTATCGTATGAGTAGTTTTTGATAATAACCTCCTTTTTAAGATTACGTGACTGAGTTTCGAATTATTTAAGTTTTTTTGAATTATTCGATATAAGGGTCTATTTTTATGTCTCCCGATCAGTAAATTTTGAAAATGACATCCATTTTATGTTTACGCCACTGTGTTTTGATTTATTTAAGTTTTTAGAATTTATCCAACATAAAGGTCTACTTTTATGTTTCTGGAGCCGTAGATTTTGAAAACGACCTCCATTTTAAGATTAGGCCACCGCGTTTCGACTTATTTGAGTTTTTCGGATATTTTTCATATGAGGGTGTATTTTTATGTTTCCGGAGCTGTAGATTTTGAAAATGACCTCCATTTTAAGATTAGGCCACCGCGTTTCGACTTATTTGAGTTTTTCGGATATTTTTCATATGAGGGTGTATTTTTATGTTTCCGGAGCTGTAGATTTTGAAAATGACCTCCATTTTAAGATTACGCCACTGCGTTTCGACTTATTTAAGTTTTTCGAATTTATCCAATATTAAGGTCTACTTTTATGTTTCTTGAGCGGTAGATTTTGAAAATAACCTCCATTTCATGATTACGCCATTGCATTTTGACTTATTTAAGTTTTTCGAATTTATCCAATTTAAAGGTCTACTTTTATGTTTTCGGAACCGTAGATTCTGAAAATGACCTCTATTTTATGATTACGCCACTGCGTTTCAACTTATTTAAGTTTTTAGAATTTAACAAGTATAAACGTCTAATTTTATGTTTCTGGAGCAGTAGATTTCCCCCATTTTGTAAATGACCCAATTTCAAGTTTATGCCACTGTGTTTTGGATTATAAAATTTTTTTTTTTTACTTTTTCGGTATAAGGATCTACTTATATGTTATCCGAGACGTATTGAAATTTTTCTAATCTTTAATATTTAAATTTATCTAATATTTAAGCTCCATTTTATGATTAAGCCGCTGCATCTCGAATAATTAGGCTTCATTTTGGATTTTTTCAATACAAAGTTTCATCGATATGTTTTCGAGTATGAATAAATAAATAAATATTATGAAGCTAAAGTTAAATTAACCACAGAAGACAAACTAAAACGCCGAAAAGCAGCTGGTAATAAATTTAACCTTCCGTATTCAGATTTTTCAGCTAATTGTTCGAAATCTTATAATTTTGTGACAGGAGACCACAACATTAAAAAAGATAACTAAAATTAAATTAAAAATGAGACAATACATATTTTATTTATTTTGATTAGATATTTTTATTTATTTATTGAAAAATAAATTAATCCTTCGTATTTTGTTTTTTATTCGAAGGAAAAATCAAAAACACTTAAAAAAACCGAAACACAGTGTCTTAATCTTAAAATGTAAGTCGTTATAAAAACTAAGGCTCCGGCATCATAAAAGTAGATCTTTAAATTGGATAAATTCGAAAAACTTAAATAAGCCGAAACGCAGTGGCGTAATCTTAAAATGGAGGTCATTTTCAAAATCTACGACTCCGGAAACATTAAAATACACCCTCATATGAAAAATATCCGAAAAACTCAAATAAGTCGAAACGCAGTGGCGTAATCTTAAAATGGAGGTCATTTTCAAAATCTACAGCTCCGGAAACATAAAAATACACCTCATATGAAAAAATCCGAAAAACTCAAAGAAATCGAAACGCGGTGGCCTAATCTTAAAATGGAGGTCATTTTCAAAATCTACGGCTCCGGAAACATAAGAATACACCCTCATATGAAAAAAATCCGAAAAACTCAAATAAGTCGAAACGCGGTGGCCTAATCTTAAAATGGAGGTCGTTTTCAAAATCTACGGCTCCAGAAACATAAAAGTAGACCTTTATATTGGATAAATTCTAAAAACTTAAATAAATCAAAACACAGTGGCGTAAACATAAAATGGATGTCATTTTCAAAATTTACTGATCGGGAAACATAAAAATACACCCTTATATCGAATAATTCAAAAAAACTTAAATAATTCGAAACTCAGTCACGTAATCTTAAAAAGGAGGTTATTATCAAAAACTACTCATACGATAACAGACCCACACATCGAAAAATTAAAGATAATTAAATAAATAAAAAAAGGTTGAATTTGAAATGGAAAAGGTTTAATTTGAAATGGAAAAGGTTGAATTTGAAATGGAAAAGGTTTAATTTGACTTGGAAAAGGTTGAATTTGATTTGGAAAAGGTTGAAATTGACTTGGAAATGCTTTAAATACAAAGATTTTAAATTTATATAGAATTCTCAAGGTTGGTATATCATATTGACTTCAGAAGGTCTTGATGGAGCTTATTCAAAGAGGATTCTGCGGATAAGAGGCTAAGAAAGGATAAACTCAAGTGTCGGATGAATGAGCACCCAAATCACTATCAGTCTGGGCAAGCTAAGAGAAACTTAAGATCTGACTGGATGATAACCACAAATAGAGAGATGAGTCTCCAGACTTTGATGGGTTGTTATTCAATATTGCCCAATACCATTGCAATAGAGGATTCGATATTATTGTAATATCAATATTGGATTTTGATACCGTATGTTATCTTTTGTATTTTGTTTTTGTTTAAATAAATATAACTAATTTCAACTTAATTACCTAAATACATTTATTTAAGTAGGAGTGTTAAAATATTTATATTTTGTAATTAGAATTCAATTAATACTTATATTTAGAAGGAAACTACTGCACAAAAAGAGTTGATGCAGAACAATTCCATTATTGATTATAGAAACAATTCGAATAGAATTAGACTGAATTCTGAGATATTTTCAAGAAATTTAGCCATATGATTTCCCTCATCATTCGTTCAATCATTAAATAATTTTGATTCTTAAAATTCTAATTTTTCTAAATATTATGATTTAATATCCTTACTACCCAGTTTGACCATGTTAATTTATGTTTTTCATCTTTAACAATGTTTATATTTTACAAATACTTTTGTTTATCTCAACTATTTTTAAGACCGAATTGGTTGTACAACCATTTATATACCTTATAATAATATAAGATTTTTTTTTAAATCTAAAAATTGATTTTTACAATCTATCTCTTGGAAAATTAATATCTTCAAATCTGGGCCCTAGTGTTAACGTTTTTGCAGTGATAAACTATAAAAACAATTTTAAATTCAAGAAAAATGTAATGGATTTTCAATAAGTTACATAATACGTAAACTTATAAATGAGATTGAATTAAATGAATGAATGGGCAGGGTTTACGAGCCGAGCAGATAAACGCATACGCAAAACACACGTTGCCAGACAACCAGATGATAAACCAAACTCTGGCTTTTAACTCTGTTATTAATCCTCTGCCCTCTACCCTAACCCGAAAAAATCCCCGCATATCCTAAAAGGTGAATAAAAAAATCTGGTGTGTCCACTCACACGACTTTCCTACCTATTTCAGAAAAGTTTTTATATCTTTACATATGACGACCAAGAACAAAAAAAAAATTGCATTAGATTTATTTTAAAGGAAGGAGATGGACCGGGGTGGCGGTCATAAATAGACTAAATAGTGCCAAAACTATTTTATAAAAAGCCAAAGTTTCGACCCAACCTTGCAGGTCTTCTTCAGGGAGGTGTGTTTGGCAAGGAGTTTCACTTAGAAAAGCCTTACGCATTTCATGTGGTTCTAAGAGAAACTCCTTGGTGAACACACCTCCCTGAAGAAGACCTGCAAAGTCGGATCGAAACGTTGGCTTTTAATAAAATAGTTTTGCCACTATTTAGTCTATTTGTGGCCACCACCCCAGACCATCTCCTTCCTTAATAATACAACGGTCAACTATTAAGTATTCAATAGATTTATTTTCCTGAAAATTGATCAAAGAAAACATTTGAGTACGATTTATTTGATAAACTAAAGCAATGTAAACCGCCTTAAGGTAGATCAGTATAAAAATTTCAATACCCTCCAATATTGCTGATCAAAAACTTTTTACCATAGCCCAATTTTGTCAAACAATAATTTCTGTTAAAAGAAGAGAAAATAGTGAAGCTTGTGTGATGCAGGTTGTCCGAATGAATGATTTTTAAATAGATTTGTGGGGAATTTCATTACCTTTCAGAAAAACAGGCTAAACAGTGTTTTTCGGACTCAGGGGGCTCTAAAACGTTTAGATCTGTCGAAAACCGCATAGCGGAAATTTGACCTAATCGCAATACTTTCCTTACCTAGTATAGGTAGGAAAGTAATAAATTAAGATAGAAAATAGAATAAGCTGTATCATCGCTAATACTGGTTCGATTCTGATGATTTTTTTTGTTTTGTTGGTCATTCAATTACCTTTCAAAAGTTTTCTTATAAATTTTACCATAGAATATATACTTAGTGAGTTAGGCCCCAAAACATTTTTCTTTTCTTTATAACTTTTTTTCCTGAATTTTCTCGGGAATTCAGCCCATATATGAAAATTGAAAGGACAATTATCAGAACATTATAGGAAAGTTTCATCAAAATCGTTAGAGCCATTTTCGCGCTACAGTCTACAGCAAAACATGTTTTTCATTTATTGGAGCATCCAATTTGTGTCACAGGCATCAATAGTTAAAACTCTTCGAAAAAAAAGATCCATAGTATAGATCCATCGAAAACCGCATTTCGGAAAGTTGACCATATCGCAATATTTTCCTTACCTAGCATGATAGGAAAGTAAAAAAATATTCGAATGAAAACATAGTTTTTCGTATTTCCTTAAAAATTGTTAATAGCACTTAGGGTTCACATTGGAAATAAATGACTCAAGTATAGGAAACAGAATTATTTATATACATTAGATAGAGATGGAGCAGACTTATTACGAATTAATATTAACAAGAAATATTAATAAATATATATATATATATACTCACATCTTTGACTTTTTCTATGCTTGCAGCAAAATCCACAGCAGACTCCTCTTCCCTAGAGATAAGAGTAGGGACTGGAGATTTGTCTGGCAATGGAGGCAAAGCTCGTTCAGTAAAAGGCATTTTACTCAAAACAAGAACACGTTCTGGTTCCTGTCTTCTACGTCTAAAGAACATATTACACAAGGTTTCTTTTAATACATGAGAGAAACCTTTTGCTTTATCTTCACCCCTTTTTTTTTGTTTCTTGCCACCACCTATTCCATGGGGATTATACAATGTTTGGAGAAACTGTCTAACTTCTTGTAATGTCATATGGACAGGTTCAGATGTTGGGGGAGCACTTTGACGTTTATTTCCCCTCTCATTTTCTTTATTTGGATTGGCTTCAACTAATGTCTGTCTTCTTCGTTTCTTTCCATTTTGCCTAATAAAACAAAAGCAAAAAAATAATAATTTAATAACAAAAAAGATTAATAATACTTTTAATTCTAAAAATTAGACTATAGAAATTCAACTTTTTAGATTCATTTATCAGACAACAATGTTGATAAAATATTTATAATCTATATACAAAGGTATGATAAATAAAGTATTGAAATGAAAGATTCATAAAACCACATTTACTTTAACTTAGCAAATTATAAATAGTTGTTCTAGACGCTTATTTAAAACAAATGACTGAAATGAAAATCATGAATTCAGCAAGCAATGGACTTTAAGTTTAATTTAGAACAAAAGGGATGATACAATATTAGCAAAAAGTCATTAAGATGCACAGGTTAAAAAAAAAGATGTTATTCATATATACATATTTTTTTAATGTAATAATATTAAAAATACTAATGAATTATAATGAAAAAATTTAATAAGAAAATATATTTGTAATATTACTTACCTAAGGCGCCTAGCTGTAGGGCGCGGTCTAACAGAGTCAATGGGAATCGTGTAAATATCACTATCAAGTGGAACGTTGTACAAATCGATCAGAGCATCGTGAGACATTGCAGAAGTGATAAATGAAGAATCATCTGCTCGATTAGGAGTAGGAACAGATAGAGAGTTGTGAGAAGTGGAAGGTCTAAGAGGAGACGGAGCTGCAGGTCCAGTAGGGGGTGTATCTCTAAACTCAACCGGTGGTGCAATCCAAACTGCTGGTTCTGATGAAGATTTTTCTTCCTCACTCTCTATGTACTGAAATAAAAATTCACTCATCTATAATGAGGAAATGAAGCTATTTCAAAAACATATAAAATTAAATTTAATGATATATTCTTTAATTTTAAACAAATTCCCATACTGGGTCAGCTTTAGAGATCATGGCCAAATTATCAGAAACTTGATTGAATAATAACATCAATAAGTATAAGCTATCTCAGTATTCAGTCCTTAACCATTAACAATATGCACTTCCAGTTATTATGAATTTTCAATTCAATCTACTTGCTGTACATTATTAAATAACCTCAACAGGCCAAAGACAAGAATACAATGAGGAAATTATTAGGCAATATGAACACATTTCAAGATTCTGGTCTGAAAAGCTAATTTAATTTAATCATATATGATTAAGAATCCTAATTTGAATAAGTAGTTATCATCAAAAAGCATTAAAAAATCATAACTGCAAAAATCTGGGGCATCTAAAACTCACAGTTGGCACCCTAGGCAACAGAGTTGGGCATTAGCTAACTAATTTTCAGTTATCTAAGGTTCACCTGGACAGCAAATTATTTGCAAAATTATCTGCAATAAATATACAGTTAATTTAGCTATTAACTGTTCTTTTGTAGTTAATCTTCACAGTTAAATTATCTGTTAGTTGAAATGAACAGCTGTTTTTTTAAGCAGTTCAAAGTAGCTCTTATCACAGCTAAAACTCTATTCTATAAATTATTTCTAAAAGGTGTTTTTTTGTCGGTACACCATAACTTCTCCAATCCTCCTTTAAATGATTGACCACTCATTTTGAACATATTCTTTTCCTTCACATGCGAAAAATAGTGCTATCCTTCTGAAATATCTGGAAGAAAAGTTATGAAGGATAAGAAACTTTATTTGCGAATAACTCACAAATTATGTATTTTTTTCTTCATTGTACCCATGATAATTAGAAAGATTACTAAATTACCTACAAAAAAAAAAAAAAAAAAAATTTGTGAAAATCGGACAATTATTAACGAAGATACAGTCCATTAGTTATGGTATACTTAATAATGTCTTCCTGTTAAAAGATATTGCATTTAGGAATAGAATAGTCTACTACACTTTTTTTACTGGCTGATATACTAACTTTATTATTTCTTAAAGGCATTTGGGGTTGTTCTTACATTCTATTTTTTTTAATAATTTAGAAAATTCTATGATCGGGGAATTATTTTGTCTTCATTACTTTTATTATCTTTCCAGTCAGCATTTAAAAATAGATCCTAGCAAAGCAATTTGTAGAAATATTTTGGTCTATTATATTTAATGGAATATTGTAATCGACCAAGCAAAAAATATTAATTCCTTCCTTGCATAATACATAGGAACTACTTATTTCCATATTGTTTTGCTATTTCTTCACTAAACCAAATTCTCTGCGAATTATTCGCTGGGGCCAACTAGTAGCTAATTATTTCATTATTTGGATGGTTCTAGAGTGTTGTTCTTAAACAATAATATGTGAGTTATCAATAATCCTTCATGTTTTTTTTACTTCTCATTATATTTTTTGAATCCTTAGGCATGCTCCCGGGTATTGTGCAAGTTATCCCTATATTTTACTATGGCAGAAAATATTAGATAGAACGAGCTTGGTTCAGTGACTGCCTATGATGTTGGATTGTTTAGTATTTCTTCATCTTCAAAAACAGGAGGAATTTCATTTAATTCAGCGATTAAGCATACAAATTTACTTGGTTTAGTTGAAAGTTAAAAGGATCCAAAAACTTGTGATTTCAAGCCAAATTTGACCAATTAAATTACTGTTTTCCTCACTTTGGCATTTTTTTCATGTTTTTTTAATTTTTTCACACCAATGCAGCCTCTCTTAATTCAGTTAGAGTTGAAAATTAATATGTAAATTTATTGGGTGTTAGAGAAGTGTCTTTTGGTGGTTTCAACTTTTTACCTACCTACCCCCAATTATTTTTTCACAATTTTACATGTTTTTTTGGCTTTGCACACCTCTTCCTAACATTTTCTGGCATCCCTGCCATAGCATGAAAATAAGATAAAAAATGTCTGCAGTTCCATTGATTTTTATATTCTACCCAATTTTATTAGGTAGGCATTAAGAAAACAATTAACTATCTTTTTAAATGCTTTTAACACAAAAATTATAATAAAATATGACTTTACAGAACTCGGTTTCTCATGTGTTATTTATTTTTTTTTTAAAGAATTTATCTACTAGTTTCAAATTGTAACTATAGATAAAACTAAGCAGTTGATAGCTATGAGGATAACTAATATTTCATAGCTGAAAAAATAGTTGACTGTTTCCGCTAATAGCTAATTTAACAACAAGAATTATCTAAGTGCAAACAGATAACAGCTGATTTTTAACTATTTATCAGTTGTAATTATAGTTAATTTACAGACAATTTTCCCCCAACTCTGCAAGGCAAGAATACTAACTATTAATTAAATGTAGGTTGGCACTCTCATGATGATAATCTAGAGAACAGACATTTCCTTCCAGAAAAATTAACAAACGGTCAGTTTAGGAGTTGTGCATCAACAAAGAAATGACAAAAAGAACACGATTTTTTTGACATAACATTAGAAATATAATTCATTATTTTAATATGAGCAATAAATATCACAAAATTTTAACAGTAACTAATCAGACATTAAAAAAAAAAAAAATACAATAAATCTCACTGAATATTGATAAACAACAAATGCAACTTAATAAGTTAAATTCTATAATTTTGAAAAACACAAAATTTCCTAGGTATATAAAAATAAAAAACTATACAAATACATAATAATAAGTCAGGTAGACAAAGATTTGGGTCAATGTGTTCACTACCCATAAACAGGACAGAAATAAATAAAGTTTAAATTGATGAATTTGAAACACTTACAATATACTAACTAAAACACAACAGCTTAATATGTATACACTCCAATGATGCACTGAAAATGAACCAAAACTCAATAATGTTAAGATTGAATTATCTAAAGGAGTGTTAACTATGTCTTAATCTACTGAGTCATTAAGAAATCAGTAACTGAGTCATCAAATAATCAGATTTTTTTTCCCACAACAACAGAATCATAGAACATGCACCATCAATGAACCAAGGTCATACTTTATCATGATATTGGCCAAACAAACATAATAAGATAATACTTAAAAGAGAAATTTTTTTTATTATGAAACTTTAAATTTTTTTCATTCATATGTTACTCAAAACATTAAATTAAGATCTATACAAGATCATTCTAAGATAATTTTTTAATATCAACAATTTAAAAGTACACTATTCAAGAAAGCAATACAAGTATCAGGATGAAATTCCAAATAGAACAATTTTTGGTACTAGTTCACATAAGTTCAGTACGGATTACGCATGGTTCATAATCATTTCGATCACACTTGCTCATGGAGTGCCGAATGTGTTCCGTATATCTGAACGAGAACGAGGGCGACCGATCTCTTGAGTCAGTTATTATTAACTTTTTCGCTATTTAAGTACTTCTATAACCTTAACCATGTTCAGTTATATAGCAGGAGCCGGCTTATATTCGAAATTTATCATTCTATATATATACATTTTTTTTTTTATTTCAGATTAATAATCATTATAATAAAAATTAATAATTGACAAATTAGTAAATACATAATTCGTTAATAAATTGTTAATAATGATGTTTTATGATGGGAATAGTTTTTTTTTTCATGCTTGAAATGGGATGGTGGGAGCAATAGTTGACGTAATAAGAGACAGCAATTTTCGGCTGTTTTCGGGGTTTCATGAACAAGGTGTGATCGAAGTGATTGTGAACCACGCATAATCTGTGCACAACTCATGTGAACTAGTACCCAATTTTTAATCAATGTAAAAAAGGATGAAATAATCCAGTATATTATTAAACATTATAGTACATTATATTATAGATTTATAACGAGAATGTTAAGAGCAAATAAAGTAAATTCCTGATGATGGGGAAGAATCCCTATAAATTGATGTAATACTATTTTAAAAATACACAAGGAAGTAAGAGCAATGTTCTTAAACAAAAATTAAGTATAACTATTCTCCCTTACTTTAAAAATTTTATCAAAAGTACACTAATATTATTATATTAATGTTTTTAGGAAAAACAAAATATCTTATTAGAATGAAAGGGTTTGCTCCAACATATTAAAAGTAATTGTGATTAATATTAATCGTACCATGTCAAAGATAACAATTTACCTCTAGACCACTTGACAGCGAACTACTTTTGTACAGGAAATTCCTATTTACAGAATGTGCTAAACCTGACCAAGCGGAACATGATGGTGGAGACTCCATTGTAAACTCCTCCTCCTAAAATGAAAACAATGTTATTGGAACAATACTATTCTGAATCTTTACTATTATAAAATCTTAGAATCGATACACAAAAATTTGGCAGCAGCGAAAGAGAACAGTCTATGAGAGTAACAGAAAATCATTCTCCTCCACACATTCAATTGACCCAATGAATAGTTGCACTAATAATGACATTATTATTTTGCCATAAATATATAAATTTGATGGAATGATTTGGATGACAATTATTTAATAATAAGGAACTCATACATTTTCGAGAAAAAAATTACACAGTCCATTTTGCCTTACCTATCTTAAAAAGTATTAGGAGGGGAATTAAGTATGAACTTATTACTACATAAGTTCAATATCAGTCTGCCTTAATCTTGTAAGCAAACAACAGATAAGTAGGCTGTTGCCATCTAACATTTAAGCATCTTACCTACAATAGCAGGAAGAAATCAGAATAATATCTAAGGTGTTGACACAATTGTTTTTGATAAATTGGCTGATGATTCATTCAAACTGTATAAATTTAGCTTCAAGTATACCTTTTTCAATGATACAGACTAATATACTATCTTGATCTTGTTATCACAAAAATAAAAAATGGGTAAACATTAAATTAAATACTAATGCTAATACCATACCTTTGTGAAAAGGATTTACTCAGTTTTACATTAGACATAAATTATATAGATAAGCTTAAAAATATTAACTTGGTGAGAAAAATATTAAGTGGATTCCATTACAACTCTGAAGATGACATACATACTGTAATAACACTTTTCAAAAAATTGCTGATAAAGAATCAAATTAGAATGATCAGACTACAATAAAAATAAAAACTGGCTTGGAATGCAAATTATATCGCAACATTTAAATGATAAATAATCAATGAAAAATAGAAGCGTATATTTTGCTGACCTTTTGCACTAATGAGCTTCATACTTTGAAAGCCTTCCAGTATTATTCGTAATCATACTCAAACTTCTGAACCGTTAATACCAAAATTAAAATTTGAAAACACATTATAAAGTTTAAATGCATTGCTTAAGCTACAATGTTTAGGGTCAGGTCATCGATAACCTCTATTTATTGGCAATCCAATTGTCACTCAAACAATTGTTCCCATTACCACTAGCTTCATGAACTCTCCGACAGAGTGCACGTTGATAGTTGACCAACGATAACAACGAGATATTTTATGAAATTTATTTTGAGATAAATTAATAAATAAAAGTAAATCCGCATAAAAAACTCAATTCTATATTGTGAAAAACTTTCTTTGAATTAATACTTTACAAATAAATCCTTAAATAACCTAAAAACATATTGTTTAAATAATTTATTTTATATTAGGGCAAACGCATCAGTAGCTGACTATGTACCAATACCGGACATCCTTCTCGAAAAATGGGGATAATAAATTGTTGGTTTCTATATTTTTCCCTTGTTAAGGACTTAAAGGAAGAGATCAGCTAGGAACAGGCGGACTTTCGAGCTGCAAGATCGTGCAGTGATCACATTTTTAGTCTCTCACAACTTATTGAAAAGAAGATGGCCCACGACCGTGAACTCCACATGATGTTTGTAGATTTACACAAGGCCTACGATTCAGTAACTCTAGGGATATTGTGGAAAGCTTTAGAAGCTACATCTATTAAGAGATACCTCATGAGAGCAATCCAAGGGCTCTATAAAAATATAACGGCGGCTATAAAAATAGGAGATAAAGTGTCTAGAAGCTTCCCCATTAACAAAGTATTGAAACAGGGCTGCTGCCTTTCACCCCTGATTTTCAACATTTATATAGAACAATCCCTTAAAGACTGGAAAAGATCGTGCTGTAGAATGGTTGTTCAAATCGGGGATGATGTCATCTACATTTGCAGTATGCCGATGATCAAGTCATAATCGCATCGGATCCGGATGATGTGACCTGAAGAGGAAGTTGCTGGCACATATTCTTGATGGGGTCTGAAAATCAGTAAAAGTAAAACAGAGTAAATGGTTTCAACGCTCCAAATTTGCCCCTTGAAATTAATGACTGGACGCTCAATGTCAGCCAAAAGTTCAAGTACCACGGATACTGGCTATCTTCAAAGGGAGGTAGTGAGGTTGACATCAAACATAAAATAAACAATGGGAAAAGAATAATAAGTTTGATAAATTCAACCATGTGGAGTAAAGAAATAAGATTTGAAACTAAAAAGAAGATCTACCATTCCTTTGTAGAAAGCGTAGCCACCTATGCATCAGAAGCTTGGACAATTTTTTTTTTTTTTTTTTTTTTTTTTGTCCTTCCCTTCCTCCCCTTTAAGGCTATACGGGGGTTTTCCCGGGCCAGGGATTGTGGGCGGGGATTTAAAAACTCCTCCGGGCACCGGGACACGAACTCGTGACTATTTTTATTTAATTTAGTGACTATTTATATTTTTTATCTAAGTCTTATGTATCAAGGTTGCCGGGCAACGGCGGTGCAGTGCACACGCGTTAGCCTATTCGGCTACCCCGCCCACTTAAAAGACTCCCCCGGCACCGGGACGCGAACTCGTGACTATTTTTATATCTTTAATTCATATGTCAGGTTGCCGGGCGACAGCGGTGCAGTGCACACGTTTTAGCCCATTCGGCTACCCCGCCCACAAAAGCTTGGACAATTACAAAAAAGGTGGAAAATAGGTTGCTTTCAACGGAAATGGATTTCTGGAGAAGAAGCTGTGGCATAATCTAGAAGCATGCTGTGGCATAAGTGTTTTTTGTCACTTTTTCGATATTTTTTTCCACCATCCAAGGAAGAAAACTCCCCCTCGCAGGATTCGCTAGTGCTGGTCAGGATTTATTTTCTGGCAATGTTTGGAAATTATAAAATTTTTGAAATGCATTTTTAATATAGCTACATCTTAAAGCTTACAGCTAAGAAATCATTAAGACCATTAAAATAACTAAAACCCTATTAATTATACCAACGATAGGCAATAAAATCCTCATAACTCCATTTGTTTTTGTAAACTCCAGTCTCTGAGCTGTATATATTAGGCCTAGAGAGATTTGTAAGTATATCGGTATATTCAACCTATAAATGATTGTGGATTGTACGCCAATTTTATTAGTTATTAAACTGTTATTTTCCATTGTAAAGTTTACTAAAATGAAATTACGATCTGTTTATTGCCTATTGATAGTTAAAAATGTGTCACACTAATTGTAAGAGGATAATGTTGAGATATCACAAATGGAAAATACATAAAATTATTCACTAATTTAATTTTATAAAAGGTTACATGACGATTTTTCGGAATAAACAGACGTTAATACCTAATTATTTAAATATAATACCAGATCTAGAACTATTAAACTACAGTAAATGTATTTAAGGTTATAAACATATGATTTATACATCAATGCACCAACGGATCCAGGATTTAATTTTGGAAGGGGAAGGGGAGCTTCAGCCCGTAAGATTTTTTTTTTTTCATATACATATAAAGAAAATTAATTTTTTAAAAAAAGAAAGAAATTAACTACCTATAAAAATGGTGGTTAAGTGGTTCTTGAAGTCCTATTTAATATAATTACATGAACAAGAATACTTTAAGAGACAGTTTTAATATTTTTCCTGTAAAATATGGGTATATTTTGCCATTTTGGGGGGGGAGGGGGAGGGCTTCAGCCCGAAAGCTTCCCCCTCCCCCCCCGTAGATCGGCCTGTTCATCAATGAAATATTTTTATATTTCACTTCTTCTTTTACTCAAGTATAATGAAATAGTATTTTAAACAATGTACCTTGATCCGCTGGATTTTTAATACTTTTGTTTCAATTATAAAAAGAATGTTGAAAGATTATATTTACTGAAAAAACTGTACATAACTTACTTGGTAACATGAGATTTACGTTAAATAATGTTAGTTTTCATAAATTACTATTTATGTTTTTTTTCGTTACTCTCCGTTACCTTCTACAACTTTATTTATTAGATATTATTTTTTCTAAAATTCTCCGCTTTCCAACGATGGACTATACGTATACTTTCTGACTATTATTTCCGGAGATTCTTTTTCAACCTGGATAAGCATTTTTCTCCTTCATTCAATTATCAAATTCTTTCAAAAGTTATATTCATTTTTTTTTGGAAACTCTTAACAATGAAAGATAGTTAATTATTTAAAATAAACAAAATTAAAGGTACTTTAGTGGAAGACATGTTGAACATTTAAGCATTTAAGCCCTGTTAAGCGACATCAATAGGCATAAGACCTAAATGGCATTAAAGATTACTTAATTATACATTGATTCACCGAGTTTAAACAAAATCCTTAGAGCTGTTTTTGAGAAAATCTTAAAAATGTGTAAAATCTATGATATTAAGAGGCACTTCCGGTTAATCGATTTTAACAAAAAAGTTGCTGTCACTTCCGAACCATATACCAACCTTAATACGCAATTTTAGTTTCGTACGACTTTTTACTTTCACTGACCTATATATGTAACATATAGTAAGGTAAAGGATTGCGATCGTTAAAATTGCGATGTTTTGAAGTCTCCTGAGTCCAAATAACTAAGTCCCGCAAATGGTGTGTGTGTCTGTGTGTATGTGAGCAGTCTAGCTCAAAAACGAAGAGTCGTAGGAAACTGCTGTTACGTATTTAAGATAGGTATATAATAATTTGCAGGCATCCATAATCATACACAAGCCTTTCAGTTGACAGAATGACTAACTTCAATTTCAACATTCTTTATTAGTAATTTTAGTGATGTTTGTAGTGGGAAAATCTATACCTTTATTCACAGTTCTATATTTCAAGACTGCAATAAACTTACTCATTGTCTTTTGAGATATTATAAATTTTCCAACTAAAAATATCACTAAAATCACATTACTCAAAAATATTGAAATTGGATTTAGTTATTCTGTCAATTGAAAGACTCGGAAACTGAAGTTATGTGCTTTTAAAAGCAGATGGATTAACTAGATTTTTATTGCCTACCGTCGATATAATAAATAGAGTTTTTGTAATTTTAATGGTCTTAATGATTTGTTATCTGTAAGCTTTAAGCTTTAGCTCTGTTTAAAACGTCCTTTAAAAATTTGATAATAGCCGAACATTGCCAGAAAATAATTTCTATTCAAAGTAGAGCAGTAAGTGAATGTTGTGAGTTACGCGCACCAGATTTTTTTTATTTAGACTTTTCGTGGTGGAGAATTTCTTATCAACTGTTGCTTCTGCTACTCTTCCTCGTTCTCCTACTTTTTGAAATTCCTGCAACTTCCCTCCATCACTCGCTTCCTGTCTTATTAGTTCATTTTCGTCAATTCTTCAACTGGCTGTTTCCAAAAGCGCCGTTACTACTTTCTCTACATATATATTTTTGAAAATCTCGCGACTCCCCCAATATCATTATTTATAAGTCTTTAATTTCATTTCCGTTTAATTTTCAACTGTTAGTTGCTATTTCATTTCTGGCGTTAGTTCATGCATTTGCATACAATTCTTGTTGTTATTCTTATCAATTAAGATGAACTGTGTTGATTAAAAAATTAAGTGGTCCAAACTCCAAGCGGAGTTATAAAACTGAAATAATTATCTAAAATTATTTCGAAGAAACGGTGTAATGAGACTATGTTCAACTGTCCTGTTCATGCATAATTACATCTTTGAAGACTTGATCCTCTTTTTCATAAAGTATGAGAACCTTGTTGACTGTTGTGATGTCCCAGGTCTGATTACAGCATTAAATCTCAATCAGAACCTTTCTGAATGGAGGTTGTTCATAGATTCATCAAAGCTATCCCTGAAGGCAGTTCTGTTGCACAGTGGCAATTTACTTCCCCTAATCCCTATTGACCATGCTGTTCACATGAAGGAAAATTACCAAAACATGGAAACCCTTCTAAATTCCATCAAATACCAGGACTACCAATGGCAAATCTGTGTGGACCTGAAAGTGGTGTCATATCAGCATCTTATTATATCAGGAAAGAATGGCCTCAAAGAGAAGTTCTGACCTCTGGACAAAATATGTTCTCTACAACCCTCTTGTGGGCCCTGAAAAAATCATTTTGGCTCCACTACATATGAAGTTAGGGCTCATCAAAAATATTGTCAAAGGAATGGACCAATCAGGAGATGCATTCAAGTACTTGAGAGCACTAGCGGATCCAGGATTTAATTTTGGGGAGGGCTTCAGCCTGAAAGCTTTTTTTTCATAAAAATTACGATAATTACTTTGGAAAAAAAGAAAGAAACTAACTACCTGTATGAAATGGTGTTTAAGTGATTCCTAAAGCCCTTTTAATATTAATCACACAAACAATAATACTTTAAGAGTTACTTTTTTAATATTTTGTTCGATAAAACATGGTTATATTTTTCCATTTTGGGGGGGGCTTCAGCCCGAAAGCCTCTCTCCTTCCCCCCGTAGATCTGCCCGTGCTTAAGAGTTAAATTTCTTCGCTTAAGTGAAGCTAAGGGGAAAGAGGGTGTATTTGTTGGTCCACAAATCTGTGAGCTTCTTAATGACGGTAAATTTTATAATATTCTTCAGGGCAAAGAAAGAGCAACGTCGGAAGCATTTACAGCTTTAGTTGATGGTTTCATGGGTAACAAAAGAGAGGATAATTATGTTGTCTTAGTCGAAACCCTCCTTGAAAAGTACAGAGATCTCGGTTATTACTCAAGATTCACTTTCTTCACTCTCATTTGGATTTCTTTCCCGAAAATTGTGGATCTGTAAGTGACAAACATGGTGAGCAATTTCATCAAGATATTGTAACATCCCTTGTACATTTTACAAATAATAATAATATAACCTTGGAAGCTCACTTCTTACCATTGGGATACTTCCTAATTAAATAAAAGGTTGTTTAATAATAAACAAAATTATAAGAGAATTAATATATTTATTTATCTCAGGTGTGGATTACTGACAATCAGACAAACTAAAATTAACTATACTAAACACTGTTTGATTTTAAAATATAGTCAAATACGTATTGGCAAGCTAATCTTTTTTCTATATACACTGTTTCTTCCTTTGTTGCACTAAATTCATTTGTCTTCAAATGCTTTCCAATCTTCTGCAAAACACAACTTCCAAAATGGTAATACTATTACTGGGTTTTGCCCACTGGAGCCAGGTCCCTTCCCATATCCTCTCTTCACTCCAGCCAAACATCAACTGCTTGCCAAAACAAAATCTTTGTCCCTCTCCTCTATGGAGTTTTCCTTCTTGGGAAACTACAGAGCAGCCATTTTCCTTTTCCTGCACTAGTAGAACTAGATTAGCTGGCCTTTTAATTGTTCAACATTAATTTATTAAATCATTTTTACCCACTTCCAATAAAGGTGTATATTACAATATATCCTCGATGTAACAAAGATATCAAGGTCGGTGGGATACTTCAATGCTCACAGACTACTGTTGGAATGTTACGAGGGATTTGCCAGAACATCAGTACAATCTTCAAGCAAAGACACAACGTTCTAAATAAACTGCACAACCGCTGTTCTTGCCGATAGAAGTTGTAATTTAATATTTTGTGGGTTGTAGAAGTATTTAAAAAATAATGAAGTACTTTTAAAGCTTAAAAAATGATCGTGTAACTTCCAATAACTTAATTTTGCGTATTCGATACTGGGTATATGGATCTGCTGAACGGTAGCTAATATAAGGATTCTGACAGAAAATCCGAATTTCTCACACCACAATTAGTCAAGAGAACTAGTTTTCATCGAAGATACATACAAAAAAAAATTTTTGTAAGGCAATCGGTGAACAACTTCTCTGGTTTCTGCAATTTAGCAAGAAAACACGATTAACCTTCTAGAAAAATGCGTGTGAGTTCACAAAATAGAACTTAATGACAAGAGGAACTTGGCAATCCTAGGATTATTAAGAGAAGATGATACCTGAACGATAGGCAATAATATATATTTCTGATATCACTGTTTTGTACAAAATGATATTTCAGTTGAATGGATTTCAAGAACTCTAAAAGTTTTAGAATGGAATTGAGTCCTTATCATCATGAGCTCTGGTAGATGCTGCAAGAAGTCAGTGTCTACTAACCTCAATTTGACAAAAAAAAAATAGTTTTAGAGAAAATTGTTAAATGTGTAAAATCAATGATATAATGTAGTATTTCAAAAGGTTGAAAAAAAATCGAAGTGTTAAACAAACATAATTTATTATATAAAAACAAAACAATATTAAAATATAATTAATGACTACTTATAAATATCAGTCAGGACAAACTCCTCCTGTAGCATTACCATATATATTACTGGCATCTAGCCTTTCCTTACGAGTTTTAATTATTACATTCCTTATACATCCTATAAAAGGGGGCTTGGACTTAATACCCTTCAAGTTCTTGGAGAGGTTAGGAGGATGGCCACCAAGATACAGAACATGTTTTGTGTCTGCTAATTTAACTGGTTGCTTTCCTACTTTAGGTTCTGAGAATTGTCCATCGACACCTAAAATGAGGGCATGTATTGCTTTAGCACCTGAAATCAGATTAAAAAAACAGCAAATTTAGTGATTTGGATTAAAGAGTCTTGGCTATAACCTATAGTAAGTCAGAGAATTTAATGGTATTCATTTTTATTTTGCTTTTTGTATGTAGAAGTTGTTTAACATACATTAGGTCGATATGACATCAAACTTAAAACTAAAGGCAGAAAAATCAAATTTTGAGGGTTTTTTTGTTTGATTAAAAAGGTTCAATATTGAAAATAAAACAAATATTGTTTTTGAATAGAAAGATTGTAGATAATTAAGCTAATAGATATATACAGTCTCATTCAAGAATAAGGTTTATAGTAAAAATTAATAATAATGGATTAATAGTTGACTGTCGTGAATATATTGAAGAGGATTTGGTTGGGATGAGAACTCAAAAGTAAATATAAATAAATTATATATATTTGTATTTTTGCTGACGTTTTGTGTATGGGACTTTCGAGCCTTGGAAAATATATCAATCCTCTATACCCTAGCTATGGAATCCTGGAGACTGCTAAAGACATTATGAATTGTACCGCCTTTGAGTCGATAAGGATCAAATTGCTGAGGTAGATTAGTACATTCTCACTGAGATGTACGATTCCTCTCACTAATGCATGACAACTTAGTTCTGCATTACGATTAATGCGGTAGGTACCCAGTTCTGTAAAACTCAGCATAAATTGCTCGGGAAGGATGTAAATAAATTTGGAGCCATTATCATTGGCCTGCTAATAGTATGAGGTAATAGATACTCGAAGCCATTACTCTGCTGTTGAATTGGTATCATTAAAACCGCTCAGTTTGAACCCATTTATGTTTTTTTGTTCTGGAGTGTTAAATTAATTATTTATTAAATATAAATAAAGGAAATATAAAATAACAATAACAAAGTTGGGAATAGAAAGTAGAGGAAGCAAAGTTAGGATATATAACATAACATTAATAAAGTTAGGAACTTATAAAATAAATAATAATGGCAATAGAGTGAAGGACTAATGAAATTAGGTAATAAAAGAAATGAAAAATGAATTAACAAAGAAATGTAATAGAATATTAAGAGATAGAAAACTTAAATGTTATACATAATATAAATGGTGTGATGTGCTTGCTAAAAATTGATGTCTTAGTATGTTAAAAGGAAGTGAGATTGACATAGATTAAAATTTAAAACAAAGAAAAGGAATATGAAGTTATATAAGAAAATAATAAATGTAAATAAAAAAATTAAGGTACAGTAAAATCTATCAAAATATACTGACTTCATAGAAGAGAATTACTAAGTTAAAATTATGTAAATTAAGAAAATAAGAGTAATGAGTAAATGTATCAATATACACAAATAGTGGCATAAATATGGAAAAGAAAGTAATGAGAAAAAGGTAAATGATGAGAGTACTAAACTAAAAGATGAAGACCAACCTGATCTCACGAGAAAGATTCCCGTAAGATAAGATTTTGGAAAGGAAACCAGTAAAACTTAGGCAGCACAATCTTTAATGGTTAAAGGAAATATGTAAACGAAACAATAGAAAACATTTGTAGTGGTTGAGAAGTTTACTATAGATAAATTTTATGTGCTTGCTATATAAATGTGTATGGAAATAGGGTATCTGTAGATAGTACAGTATAGGGACCATAAATATTGAATAATAATGGAGCATTAATGAAATTAACTTAAAATGTGAGATTAAAGAAAACAAAAATTAAATTAAAGAAAATGAGAAAGTTGTCACAGAAAAAAAAATGGTATTGTAAGTTGTAACAAAAAAAAAGTTGTATTTATAATTAAAATAAATAAAGAAGGGTATGATGAATAATATTAAGGATAGGGAGGAGCAAAATGGATGTTATAATAAATTCAAAATTTGGGAACAGGCCGAGGATAAGTTTTATGTCTTTTTTTAGATTCATTGCCTGTGGTCCAAGCTGGATGTGGTGGGTTTTAGAGTTGAGTAGTTTGGAATGGAGGCTAGGATGGAAGTTTTACCGTAATCAAATGTATTTTTTAGAGAGAGGGATTGTTCGGATAGTTTGGAAGCGGTAAAGTTACCAGAGATTATATAATATTTATGTTGGATGATACAGTCTTTTGGGAGATTTTTGGTTTCACCAATATAAGAGGTGGAACACAGGATGCATTATATGACATGAGAGCGAAAAAAAAGAGGAACAGGATCTTTTAGGGATGTTTACAAATTAGAAAGTGTGTTATAAGATTTGAAGGCAAGTTTAAGTTAGGGTAGGTAGAGTGTAAAACTTTGCTTTCTCTACATGGAGGCCGAAATAGGTTGTAGAGGTAAAGGAAGACAATTTTTGTGGTCTTCGATAAGTTTATTGATGATATTGGGTGGAAATCAGAGAGAGAGAGAGAGAGAGAGGAGAGAGAGAGAGAGAGGAGAGAGAGGAGAGAGAGAGAGAGAGAGAGAGAGAGAGAGAGAGAGAGAGAGAGAGAGACTTCGGTGGATGAGATTTTTGGAAATATTTAATTTAATAGCTAATATTCTTATCACCAAAAATTAATGTTGCTAAAAACCTCATTCACCATAGTCTCTCCCTGTCGAATTCCCAATTTCATGACACCAATATCCATCGTATCAAAAAGATCCTTTTAACTAATAATTTCGCTCCCTAAAGTTTTGTTATATATTCTAACTTTGCTTCCGCTACTTTCTTTATCCAACTTTGTTATCATTATTTTATATTTTATTTAGTTATGTTTCATATTTCTGTCTTTCCACAAATTTGTTAATGTTAAGTTTATTCTACCTACATATTATTAGACTTTACGTTTTATCTATATATTATTAATTTTTACCGTTTTTAAGTTTCTCATATCTATTGTTACCTTGTCCTTTCTTGGCCCTGATGAAGGCCTGAACTTTGGACTGAAACATCGGCAAAATTAAAAATAAATAAAATTGATTTATTTTTACTTTTGACTGCTCACCTCAACCAACTCCTCTTCAATAATTAATAATAGAGGTTTACAATAAAAATTAATTTAACACTCCAGAACAAGAAAACATAAAGGGTTCAAACTGAGTTGTTTTAATGGTACCAATTCAATAGCAGGGTAATGGCTTCAAGCATTTATTACCTCATACTATTAGCAGATCACCGACAATGGTTCCAAATTTATTTATATCCTTCCATGCCATTTAGCCTGAGTTTTGCAGAACTGGCTACCTACCGCATTAACCGTTAATTTAAATTTAAAATTTACCGATTGTTAATTTAAAATATGCTGAAGCATCTGGAATTAAATTTAAGATTAAAAACAAAATTATCACCACTATTGCAGTCTATATCCCTCCAAATAAATTAAATATAGATGATCTCAGAACTATGCTTAATCATCATTATATAAATAGGCAAACACAAAACGGTTCAGCCCCTTTTTCTCCTCTATTATTCAACCAATTTTCTTCCTCCTGTTTTGTTTAGTAGCTATTGACGAGCTTAAGTGTTATCAGTAAATAAAAATCTGAAATAGTGTATATAAATAAGAATATGTACTCGCTTCGGCGGTACATGTACTAAAATAGGAACAAAATAAAAATATAAATGGTAGCTTGTTCGAAACAGCTAATCTCCAAAGTAAAGTTCTACACAGATTTCTTTGAAATTTTGATACTACGTTGCAATCAGATTTAGAATTTCATTATCATCCAGCCTTTCCTTTCGACATGGGGACCGAAAAACTTTATTCGCTTTAGGCTATAGAGTCAAAACAGCTGCAACGATTTTAATAAAACTTGGCTAAAGTCTTCTCCTTGAAATCTTTATAATTTATGAATACAACATACTTTCCCAAAAACAAGTTGCATAAATTTTTACAATGAATTCAGAATTTTATTTGCGAATAAATAAAAAATTATTCAATTTTTGATTGATAGTACCATATTTATTTCAAATCTTCCTGAATTCCCTACCAAATAAAAAAAATACCATCAAAATTGATTAAACTTATCTGATTATTAAAAAATTATTTTTATCTGAAATAAAAAAAAAAATGTGGCGGCCATAGGAGTAAAGTGGGTTTTAATATCTTTTTAAACTGCACAAAATGCAACAAACCGCACCCCCGTAAGCATATTAGAACTGGAGATAAAAAATATAAACACGTTAGTAGATTTTCTTTATTTAATCGTTATGAAGGCATTAAATTTAAAATTTATTTATGTTTTCCTAAAGAGCAATAACTCAGCTTTCATAGAAACATAACAGCGGTCATAGAAACATTGAATTAGAAGAAAATCATGAGGAGTTAGGAGTTTTTTAGTGGAAAGCATATAAAAGTATTCTAATAGAAAGTGATTCCGTATCCATGGTAACCAGATCACATCATTTACCAATATCATAATATAAATGTTTAAAAGTTTGAAATTTTATAATTCCTATGGCAATGGGCAAGGCTACTTACTAAACAATAACAGAACATTCACAAAGAACATTATTTATAGAGAAGTTCTATATAAAATTGATTCAATATGAATTGAAATTGCTATTTTTAAATTATTTAATAAACATAACATTAATTTATTGTGATAATAACATAAATAAATCAAAATGGAAATTAAATATTTTGGAATGAATCCATTTTTGTATTACTTATAAATAATTTTAAGTAGTTTAAGCTTGATCTTTAATTAAAATTGAAATTTTATTTTTATTAATAAATGAGGATTTTTAAATCATGGTTTACTCTTTTTTTATTTAATTTATTTGTTATTTAATAATACGTTTCTCTAAAATTTTCATTGATAATGGTCGAATTTCATTGATAAACACGTGCTAATTTTCGGGGACTTAAAGCCAAGAATTCAAAATGGAACTGCCATAATTCTAATAAAAATGGAAAATTACTATTAAATTTTACTTCAAGGAAAAATATAGAATTACATGCTTTATGAGTCAACTGAGGAGAAGGAGGCTTAAAAGGAATGGGTGAAGAAAGTGCTACTTAGTTCAAACAGTTGTCCATAGCAATATTCTTCTTCATTTTATTGTGGTCATAAGAATCAGTTTTATATGAAAAGGAAAGTTTTTTTATATATTTCAATAACTTGGGTTACAAATTCAGACCAACAGCTATTATTTAAAATGAGGAATCCCCCTAAACAGTTGTCAGATCGAACTTATAGAATTTTAAAGCAACAGCAGATTTGCTGTGCAAGAAATCTTACAACTTCTTGAAACTCTGATTGATCAATTTAGATTTTCTATTTCATGGTCATGCCTAATCCCATTTGGTGAAAAACGATGGATTATAATGATTGCCAGTAATTCAAAACTAAAATTCAAGGATGCAAATTTTCTAATTTGAACACTTCAAACTCAGTTTAAAAAAATACTCAAGATTTAGTAGAGAAAACATAAAAAAAACGTACATGTGATCTTATGCCAATTTCCATCACAGAGAAAGTAAGGATCATTTGGCTTATATGTAGCAGTTATATCACCACTTCCAATGTCAATGGTCATTTTCACTTCACCATTCTCCATTTCAAGAACAAAATAGGCGTCTGCGGAATGTACAGCCAGTAAAAGCCCAGAAAGAGATCTTGGCTTAATTTCCATTGTGATATCAAATTTTCTTCCCATCTTAAAACGATCATCTAAACAAAAAAAAATTAAACTAGATATTACATTAATTTAAAATTCAATTAGCCCTATCATTAGTTTACAAAATACATTATTAGGATATAAAGTCTTGCAGGGGTGCCCATCTCTCCCCTCCCCCCAAGGGTTGTGGCACAAGAACCTATTCCCCCTCTTCCAAGATATTTTATTGCTCACTTTTCTTAAAAATAGAGTAAGTGAAAGTAGAATCAGAAAAATAATAGATCATCGTTCTGCTCCATGTTTTCTCCTTATCATTTATTCTGAAACTTTTCATTTCAAAAATTCATAACCTGTTGAAATGTGGCACCCTCAAAAATTCCAAAACTTATCAAAATATGCCCACCTCAAAAATTTTGATGGCGTAACTTGTACCATGAAACCCCCTTCTGGGCACCCCTGGGTTTCCTCACATGAAATGTCCTAAATTTTGTCATAAATTGGATGAAATATTAATATCATTTACTGCATTTTATGAGTTCACTTCATCTTGCAGCTGATTAATGTCAAAATGACATTTAATGAGATAAAACTTTATGTAACTACTAAGTATTATAAGCATGCTACAGACTTTTTATTATAACTAGAAATGATTTTTTTTTTTTATGCTTAAAAACAAACAATATGATGTTCAAAAGCAAGAAAAGTGCCTTATTAATCAGATAGCAGAAAAGTTTGACTAAGAGACACTTTTCATAAAAATAATGTACCTTATTTTAAAATAATATTAAAACTTTCATAATTTAATGCAATAATGTTATTTACAGAGTTTAACGAAGCCACCCTCTGGATGGAAATAAATACTATCATAGTGTGTGTCACATGGAGTAACACCTATCTTCTTGCGAGGTTTCTCCAGCTGGTTATTAAACTTAAAATCCTTCAAACATCCATCCAATGAATTGTTGATTCCCTACAAAATGTATTATGAATTAATAATGACTATGATAGATATGAAATAAATTAATTTATATTTTTTTAAATATAGGCTCAGGTAGTGCTTAATATAACAAAGTTAAGTCGCCAGTTTCCACTGATGTTGAATAAATTGTTATAATATTTTTATTTTTAAATTTTATATATCAAAAGAAAAAAGTTTGCTTTCAAACTGTTGCATACACTTAACTTATAAATGTAACCTTAAAACATTATCTTGACAATGAAAAAATATAAATTTTTGCTTTATGTTAATTCCTTATAAATTTCTTTTCTTTGTTTTCAATTATAATTTTTTACTTAAACATATTTTCTCTTAAAATTTTTGTCTTTAGCAATTTCCTATTGAAGATTATAACATCTTTAAGACTATATTTAAAATAAGTTGGAAATGTTATCCCTATTATATACACCCATAAATACTTATACAGGCATTATGCTTTGAGTTAAGAATTATGTAAATATTTTTGGCACATAAATTTCTTTTTAAATAAGCTAATTAATTGAAACACCTTAAATGGAGTAAATGAAACACCAGCACACCCATTAAATATTCTAATGTGAACAATAAAAAAAAAAGTAAATATTAAGCTGACAGCAACTGACCTTGAGATTCGAAAGTACTTTATCCAGCTTATCTTTAGAATTCAAGAATGGACTAGGATCTAAACCACCTAGATAATATGTTGCTTCATTATTGATTGTTTTTGCATTTCCAGATGATTTTCCTTCCACAATATCATTGTCGACAGTTAAAGTTCCTAGAATACCTTGCTTTTGAAATCTTATACGGTGCCATTTTTTATCACTTATCATTACCTGTGAAGTTATATGAGCTGCTCCAGAGCCACAATTAAAACGGAAATTGACCTTAAACGAGAAATAAACAAATATAAGGTTTAACAAAAAAAATTGATGATATATTGATGAGATTTTAGGGTTTATTTCCATAAAATGTAATACTTATTGTTATCTTTTAGTCAGAAAATTTCTTGGATTTACAGTTCTTTTAGATCTACTAATCATGTTTTTTTTTTTTAATTTACTACATGTATGTTTACTGTGACTTTGTTAATTCTGTGCATCCATCTAACTTAAGTTGTCCCAAACAGTTGATGGACAACTGCTGTGGAATATCTGATTTGATTAAGAAATCTTGATGAAGAGCTTCCTGCTACAAGGAGTACCCATATAACCTTCTTGCCTTTATATCATGAGATGATTAGTGGTAAAAGAGTTAATATTTGTTAAAGATATCAATAAATGTCTTACTATTTATGAGTGATGATGTTTACTGCTTGACAATAATCAATTACATTTTTAAGCATGTGAAGTTGCGATGTTAACATTTTCCAGAAAACTAAGCATTGTATTTCTTAAGAATTATTATTTTAATTTCAGAAACCAAAATATTACACATGTTTTTATTTATCAAAATTGAGGGGTTCATATTAAAAACCACCCATATAATTTTTTCCCACATTATGCGATTGAAGTGCTATAAGCTGCTCCCCTTAAATCTACAGAATTTGGTGAAGTCGGTTCACCTAAAATCAACCCTAGTCTAATGATATTAACAAATGAAAAAAAGGCAATTATGCAAAAACGACCCATGTCAAAGAAGAGTCCGTGAAATACAACCTTAGTCAGTGACAAGGGTTATTTTTGCTATAATGTAGTCAGTCTAATTGTAGTCTTCTACTTCAATACTAAAAAAAAAACTTAAAATCTGAACTTGTTCTGATATCAGACGGGTGTTCGGACCAGAACAAGAATTTTACTATGCAATTTCTCGACGTTGAACAGGCATTTGATAGAGTTGGTATCCTGGATTGATGTACAAACTCTGTAAATTCCTACCACCTACATACTTTCTCGTTATCCGTCCCTACCTTAGTGATAGATACTTCAAAGTAAATCACAATAATACCTATTCATCCCTTTACTCTCAGTCTGCTGGTGTTCCTCAAGGTAGTATCCTAGGTCCTATCCTTTACACTGTCAAGGTATATGTGCAGAGAGTATGCAGTTATCAGAAGGTCTCAACAATGTGTTGCTTAATTTAGGGGTAAGATGACTAAGTGGATGTAGGAAGATGAACAGAAAGATGATCTTAAGTGATAGGCGGATCAGCACCCAATCACTCTTGATCTGTGGTGTAAGTGATCAGCCTTAACACTCCGCAAGGATGGTAACCACAACCGGAGGGATCAAACTCCGGACTTGTGGGAGGATGAGATACTAACGGAGAGATCAACCTCCAGACTTAGTATATAGAAATACAAGCGGACGGATCAGCATCCAACTTGCATGGAGAGAGAATAGGAAAAAGTTTAGGATAATATTTAAAGAAAAAGGCAATGTGAGGCATTAATAACAAGAGGTATATAAATCACGTACTGTTAAGTAAGTGACTGATAGTCCTAGAGCCAAAAGGGCTAGGAGATCATTCTTTCATGCGAAAGATGAGTAACGAGAGCCGTACCCAATTATTCTGTTCTTAATTTTTTATCTGTTGATTTATATACCTTTGTCTTTATTTAGTAAAATAAACATTTTTATAATACAAGTTTATATATATTTATATATCCTAGTGATCAACATATGTAAATATATTATTAGAGTGCTACCAATGGGCAGTTTATCAATAAGCGTTTTCATGTGATTGTATTATTACCGTGTGCACATTTACTGAATGTATTTTGATTTATACAGTTGTAAATTTCAAGAATAAATAGAAAAAATATATATATATTTCCTTTACATCCTGGTTCACTGTCTCAGATTGTTTGAAAGCATCAATTACCTGTTTTGAGTGAGGGGACATTCTTTTTTACCCAAAGACAAGGACTTTTCTTTAAACTCAGCAAAAAAGGTAAATGAGGTAATCAAATTACCAGGATGAAATCATTCTGTCTTATCATCAGAACCCAAGGTTATGACCTTTAACGGTAGTAAACGTGAATCAGGAAATGATTTTGATATGAAGTGGAGTGTGGGCTTACCACCCTTCTTTAAGCCTTCAACCAAAAAAAAAAGGGTTCAACCAGTAAAACTGAAGGGTTAACGCATGATCAAAATAAAAAAAAATAAATAAGGTAGTAGCAGTGAGACAGATTTGTAGTGGTCTCTGGCATAATGTTACCCTATGAAGTACAATGAAGCTTCCAAATGAATTACAGTTTCACTAACTCTACACTAGACCAATTAAAATAAAGGAACCAAAAGCTGAAGATTTGTAAAAACTGTATAAGTTTCTTTCGCCTGAAAGTGTAGAATTCTACAAAGTACTACTGGATGAATGGATTGTGATCAAGAACTTGAAATTTTAGATTCTGGTAACAGCAGTGGAGAAGAATGAATTATTGTTAGGTTTTAAATCATGATATTGTTTATCAACATTTATTTTACTAAACGTTTTTTAATACTTTCATTTACCAACCTCCTTGCAAGAAAGTATTATTTTCATTATAAATAAAAACATTTAATAATATGTATGATTTAATAGTTATTATTTCCCTTTAAGGTTTCCATGCAAATTGGTTTCCAACAAAAAAACCCTTGTCCATAACTACCAAACTTTGATGCTATACTATGGATACCCAACAATACTTGACAGTTTAGATGTAAGTCATAATAGTAGTTTGTATAAGCACAGGTGTGTATATGATCCTGGCCAAATTATAGTTGATTTTTTTAAATCTGATTTTAGACTATTATGTTTTCTACCTAAATTCCACTGTACTTAGTACTTCCACTGTACTTAATACTTAAAATTATCTTCCCCCTTTGAGGGCAAATTTTATTTGAGCTGGCTATGATGCCCTTAAATTCATTAGAAATAATATTATTATTATTTGTTTTTAACCTATCAATTAAAGGTATTTTCCTGGAGTGAGGAAGAGTCAACTCCAACCATGTCAGATCAGATTATGTTTATAAAATTATAGTATATTAAGAAAGCTTCTTACAATCTTTGCAGTACCCGGCAGTACAATTTTCTGGGCTTCATTATATTTATAACGGCTGTTGAGAGGCCCAACTTCTCAGTACCTTCCACTGTGGATACTCGTATCAGACCATTGCTGGAGATCACTAAAGCCCTAGCAGTTACCTTGTTCAGCCTATATAGGTCTTTCAACTCAGCTGCTGGAGTTTGATATTTCTGATTTTTGCTGCACAGATTGAATTAGTGTTTCCATTATTTGGCACAGTGATATCTATTATTTCAGCAGTCTTCATATTGCTTTTCATCAACATATCAGGTTTGTTGTTATTTTTTTTTTTTTTTGTCTACCCCTTTCTTGCCTTTTGGGCTATACAGGTTTTTCCCCAGGCCACGGAATTAATACCAGAGTTAAAAGTCTTCCCCATCCTCCAACACCGGGATGCAAACTTGTAATTATTTTATCATTTAAACTTAGGTTTATCAGGTTGCTGGATATTGCGTGTTTTTCTCATGCATTAACTCGCTCAGCTATCCCATCCCCACAGAGCCTACACTTGTCTGATACCATCTGCTGCTATGAGTTGACCCTAGATTGCTGTCAGAAAGTCCTCTGGCACGGGAAACAGTTATTATTATTATTCACTTGAAATATTTGATATCAAATCATCCTGAGCCAAAAGCCTATTATGAAAAAAATAATAATAAAATAAAAAAAAGTATAAATAACACATTTCTGAGTAATTGAAAGATAGGGACAATTTAGTTGTGAGAGTTTTAGCATTTTGAAATAAACTAATCAATAAAAGATAACCTCTACAAGGAAAAAAAATATCTTCTCCCCTTTGAGGACAAGTTTTTTTGAGCTGGCTATGGTGCCCTTAACAGGACAATGATGATGCCCTTCTCAGGAGCAGAGAAAACTTACCTTTCCTTCACTGATGTAAACAGCCACAAAATCTACATGCATATGATCAGAAACATAAAATATCAGTCCTTCTTTTGCTCCTGTTTTAACATCAACTGAAAAGTCAAATTTCAACCGAAGTTTGGTTTGTATGAAGTACTCAAGCCTGCTGCCAGCCATAGTTCCTAAAAAATATATATATTTTTAAAATATAAAAATTCCAATACATTTTAAAGCTATTTTGTCAGTACTTACCAATATGATAAACAGTGAAATTAGAATATTCAACTGATGTTGTCGGGTATAATGGAACTTTACAATTTGGTGAATAATCACTTCTAAACACTTCAGACGTTGTACTTGGTGTTGTGGTGATTATTTCATTATCTGAAATATAAAAATTCGAGATGTCATTTGAAAAATAAAATAACTAACATCCAAAGGTAACTAACTATATGTAACTTATTTAGTTGAAATATAAATTAATAATATATATATTTTTTTTGATAAAATCAACTGATTTTATAAAATAAATTGATGAACTTATCAATCTATTGAGGTTGAACTAGAGAACAACAAAGATATTAAGCTGACAATTAAAATAGTTGGAATCATTATTTGAAGTAAACAAAGATAAAAGTAGAAGTAAATTAATTTTTAATACCCCTACTAGAATGTAATTTATTTGAAAAGCCCAAGAAAAAACTTCCAAATTATACACACCGCAGTTAACTATTATGTAGAATTCATTATTGTTTTTTTTTTAATTTAAATATATTGTTAGATAGAGGTACAACTTGAAAAAATAAATTAAAATGAAGATAATCTGAGCTACCAAGAGATTAAAGCAGTATGAGTAACATCGTGAACTTTTTTTTTAGGTGAGGCATATCTATTATTGTATTTCTCAATACATTTTAATTACCAAATTAAAACAAATTAAGTAGTACATATCATCGATTTATTGAAAAAAGTCATTAAGTGCATTTTTGAAGTAGGTTAACTTTCAAATATGTTTTTGTGAATTTCGACTATATTTTCTATGTAAAATCACTGTAGGTTCAGGGAAAGGACATACACCCTTTTATTCATCACACAGAGTTACACTAAGTGAACAATTTTCTGATTTCACCTAGGAAAAATTTACCAAAGTTCTCAATTATTTAAGGTTTAAAATGTAATTTTTTCAACCTCTTCCTGATATCCTTTTGCAGTTTCCTCGTCTTTCAATTTAAAAGATTTTAGTTTCTTTTTCTTTCATCTAATGTTATTATATTATTATTTTGGAAACGTTTATTTACAATAATTATCTATTACTTTAAATAGGTATAATTGCAATCATGTTGATTACAATATGTCTCAGGTCATGAGGGAAAAAAGAAATAAAAACTTTTCTATAATTTATTATAGTCAGCCATTTTTGTTGAAAACACGAGTACTTTTAGGTGACAGAATATCAAATAATATAATTTTTTTAAATGATTTGAGATTAGTCCCAACTTATTTCGTAATAAATCTTCAATTTAATTGGTATGAACTTAAAGCTTATTAAACAAGAAAGTTTTTCTATAAGTGGGGTGTCTGTAGTATAGTTGTACAGTGATGAAAAAAAAGGTGCGAATAATTCATAATTTTTTTGAAAACAGAACTTAGCTTAGAGAAGAAGTTAGTCAGGGATGCGGTCAATATATTATAATAGTATTTGCTGGCCAACACAATAAAATGCTGTTATAATATTTAGTACTTATATATTATATATGGACCGCACCATATAATTCAATGAAGATAAAACAAAATATTTTATAGTAAGCCGAAAAATCCATCCTAATAACATGATCTGCATAGACTCTTAAGTCATTCCCGAATGTAGACAGATTAAAATACCTTGGCTCTACATTAACCTCAATAAATGAACAATTAACAGAGATAGACCAGCAGATAACAAGTGTGAACAGAGCTTTCTTTTCTCTTTCAATGGTACTGAAATCCAGAAAATCTCCAGAAATCTCAAACTAAGGGTGTACAACATCGTGATATAGCCAATTCTGCTGTACGGCTGTGAAACCTGGGCTCTAACCGGCACCTTAGAAGGCAGAACTGAGAAATTCGAAAGAAAAGTCCTCCATACAATAACACAACCTATCTGAGATCAGAATCTTAAAACGTGGAGGAGAAGGAACAATATAGAACTGGAACTCTTTGGATGGTTATAACAATGACAGACTTTATTTTCTTTTGAAATAAATTTTATCTAGTTAATTATGGACCAATTCGTACTTACTTAAATTAAGTATTTTTTTTAGTTATCACTTTCTATTCAATAAAAACGTAACACAAATCTTAAATTTCCTACTTTTTGTGGAAAATTTTACCGCTATTTACATGAAATTTTTTCTAGTTCTTCTGGTCTACTATCATCTCTTTAAATATTTCTCTATAATATTTGTATATTGCTTGTTTTTTGTTTAATAAGCTTTAAGTTCATACCAATTAAGTTTAATTAAAAAAAATTATATTATTTTATATTCCGTCACCTAAAAGTACTCGCGTTTTCAGCAAAAATGACTGACTGTAATAAATTATAGAAAAGTTTTTATTTATTTTTTCTGCCATGACCTGAGATGTATTATACCTCACATACCTCCCTATTATTTCCCCCTGTACTTATTCTTTTCATAAAAACAGATGCAACGAAAAAGAAAAGAAAAAAATATATTGCAACTTAACCTTTAAGAGATTTTCATGGAAGCCTTAGAACTTACCAATTTGTGGTGGTAAAGTGAATGTTTTTTCAGTTGTTACTGGAGCAGGAATAGTTGTAATCGGTATCTCACTATCAGGGATTTTAATACCTAACAAACAGATAAACCAAAATTTAAAACGAAATAAACAAATTGTATATTTACATAGTTTAATAATTATTACCTCTTGGAGGTGGTAGTGGTGGAGGGCGATGAATGGGTATTTTTCTTGCTCCTTCTATACATTTCCCAATCACTGCCTCTGGAATTTCTGTCAAATTACCAAAATTAACTATTACACCATTCAATGTTGCATCACTAATACAACCCGAAAAATGTTTAGATATAGCAGCTTGAGCGTCTACTTTTGATGGTACTCCACCAAAGTACAAATTTCCATGGAGCATTCGTATTGGTTTGGCAGGAGACAAAGAACTGAAAAATAAATTTTTATTGTTAAAAAATTTAATACTATGCTTATAAAAATAATATTTTTTTTTTTTGATCAATTGTATCATGAAACTAGTATACACTCGGTTCTCAAATCTTAAATAACAAAATTAGTTATTTGAAATTTTAAAACCCATGAAGTATTTTTCATTCTTGACAAACAAATATTTTAAAGCTAATAGGAATTGGTGATTGACACCAAACAATTTAACATAAAAATAAACATAACGTTCCATGTAACATTAAGGAAAGTAAATAAATTGGCCTAAATAATTTTCTTTTTCATCATTGATAATTTTTAAAACAAATAGACAACGTTGCTTCAGTTGATGTAAAATTTTAAAAAAATCAAAAACAAAAAATATAAGCTTTGCAGTAGAACATATAAAAAATATTTAGAACACCATATCTTTGTACCAAATTGTCCAATTTGAATTATTTTTTTTTTATTTTGTAGGACATTTTGTAAATATAAAAAAATCATTACACCAACAAAAAGTATATACTCAAATTTTTTTATTCGATTTTCGAATTCTATGTATCGTGTAACGTAAAACCTCAAATTTTGAGGAGGGTTAAATTATTGATATTTTGTGACAGTTGAAATGGTCCATTATTTAAAATAATATACCAAAAACATTCTAAGTATACCTTTATAATTTTTTTTTAAGAGAAGTTGGTTTGGGTAGTTCAGTCAATGACTGCACACCCCAACCAACTTCTCTCTAAATATATTCTTCCATCAACTATTATGCAATACCATTATACATTTTTTTAAAAAGTTTTTATATATATATGTTGAAGTAGCCAGACTTCATAAAAATATTTACTTGGAAGATACTTTATTGTTATCAAAATTTAAGAGCTCCAAACAATCCTTGAAAAAAAACAGGAAAGTATTTTTATAACATGTTTCCAATATTTAAAAAAAAAAAATATTATTTAGATTATGATAAAGGCAACATATTTTTATTTTAAAAATATTACAATCTAAAGCTGTCAACCCCTCTGAGTTCTAATATCTTATTAACTAACTAAAACCCCTTGAATACAATCTCCTCACTTCCCAGATCCTTCAACAATTACCTAAAAATCAATAATATTCCTTACTTATATATACAATTGCATCCTTCGTATAACCTACTTTCCTTTGATGTGGAAATAATCCATAATTATTCTCTTCCCTAAGTCAGATAGATCTGTTAATAATACCTCATCCTTCAGACTAATAAGCTTGCTACCGATCCTTTCAAAAATTTGAAAAAATGTTTCTCAAATGCATCCTACCTAAACTCGAATCCCATAATACTCCTTCCCACCAGTTTGGACCCTGCTCAAAGTCAAAGAATCTAAGTGCAAGTATGTTACGTTTACCCTATGACAGAGATCCTATCTATCTATATAACTAATTCTTTTCAACTCTATACCTCTTCCCATCTCAAACAAAGTTTGTTATCTTGGATTCCTTTTAGACAAAAGAATAACATATAAATACCAGACTTAAAAGACAAGAACAGAAACTCCAATATTTCAATCGAAAACAAATTAATAATAAACAAGACCATGCTAAAACCCATTTGGACCTACAGACTTGAACAGTGGAGGACAGATAAATTTTCGAACATCAAACAAATCGAATCTTTCCTGTCTATAGTGCTTCGTAGAATAGTCAATCTCCACCAAATAAAACTTCAAGTCCTGACCTCAACATCCATTATGTCCTTGACATTATTCCATCCAGAATCTCAAACTTTCAGCAGAACCTTATTCTCTACCCTAATCCCTTAGCATGATTCCTATCCAACTCCAGTCATTCCTATTATCCATCTCAAAAGTTGAAGCAACAGTTGCTCTGAGAACTTTTTTAAATATTTCATTGGAGTTCTGGCAATGGCCAGCTTCTCCATTCAAATCACGAGTGTCTGAAGCTAAGTGCCCCCATATCTATATCCACTGAATTTTTATACTAGTGATTCAGCTGAGAAGAAAGTGCTGGGATCTCTCAGAGTCTTACCTTGTCCTCCACAAGCTGGAGAAAGGTCCAGACTTGGAGCTTCCTAGGCTGACTGTAAATAAGTATGAATGTGTTTTCTGATTTTTTTTTTCAAAGTTTCATGATATTTCTTTTGTTTTTACTATAGTTATTTTTTTGCTTATGTTATTGTATATATAAATGTGTCACACACAGTTCTAATACTTAGTGCACTTAAATATATTATTGGCAGAATGTATTATTTCTTAAAAAATAAAAAAAGTTTTTTAACCTGAAAGATTCATGATCATCTATGAAAAGTTGAAGCTGAGAACCAATTTCAAAAGTTGCCATAACTACATGCCAATTGCTGTCATTGTACATTGGTTCTGTCATTACTGTGTCTGATTCTCCAACTCTAAATACAATTTGGCCACCATTAAGTGAAAGAGAGACACTATTTTCACCAAAATCTGCATACGCAAGTAATCCATTCGGGAAAGAAGTTTTGAACCTCAAAATAAGTTCTAAGTTGTCATGCTGTGCACTGATGTTTGGCAATAGTGCATATCCTCTTGCACCGTCCTCAAATGAAACTATACTAGCAAACTGAAAAAAAATTGTCATTAACTAAAATTAACTAACAAATGTTACAGAATTATCTTATGCCATTAATACTTTAGGAGGACAGCCTTGAATAGTTCCTATCGCTTCTGGAATATTCAGATCCACACTTGTTCCATCAATCTGCACATTGTTGATGCAGCCATCGAAATCTACTTCTGTCACTTCTAAAATATTATGCTCTCTAGGGAAACCACCAATGAACAGTTTTCCAGAAGGCTAAAAAAGGAGAAGATTTTTTTCAGATCAAAAAAATACACAAAATGTTAATTTTCTTACTAAAAATTGTTTGCATGAAGGACAGACCAATACAGATAACAACATAAATATACCTCAAATACTGTATTATCACCAGGGGCTTCAGTGGTATTTATGTAACCATCTTTGTCTGTTAAACCATCCACTTTTAGGTTACCTTTTTTATCAACTCTAGTGACTTCAATACTATGCCATTTTCCATCATTAAATGTTTTTGAAGTAAACAACATCAATGGTCCACTTCCAAGGTCAAACTAAAACAAAAATAATTAACATGCCTATCAAGAAGTACATAACACTTTGAGGTATTGGATGTGAAGGAGACATCTTAAGGGCAGGAATGAAAAATATTATTTTAATATATAAACATTTATAATTTAAGCTCTAAAACACTCCCTTTTCTCTCTCCCCTCCAAAAAAATAAGAAATAATAATAATAAATGAATGGAAAATAATCTCATTATAATTATAAATATGAATAGTTGTTGAGGGTAAATAAAAATACTAGAGTAATCTTTATAGATTGTTAGTTGTCTCTCTGTCCGTAATTATAATTCATTCAGACTACCAGTTACTACCTCTCTAGTTTTTTGGCTTTCCTTTTCACCACATCTCTCCTCATTCATTCTGCAAAATACTTGTTACTATAAATCATTTTGAATAGCTATTAAAAGTTATAAAAAAATTACTTGAGTAGTAAAATGGGTTCATGTATACAAATCAGTCAGAGTATTTAAGCTTAGATAATATAAGATCTGAAAGTTAAATTATGATAAATTAGCACATAATTTTTTTAATATTAAGATTCCAAGAGGATGAAATTAAGTGATGGCTAATATTATTTAGCAGTTTACTCTTAAATGAGGAGAATGTATAAGCAGGAGAGTAAAATTCAGGAACTTAAACTTCAAATATGTCGAGAATTTATTTATCTTGGAACACTGGTGGACTTTACCAACAATATACAACCAGATATTCAGCAGCGGATTATGACAGGCAATACAGGCTTTCATGGGCATCTATAAAGCAAATTAGGAACACCAACATATGTATCTATAAGTCCCTAAGTATGGATGATTAGAGTGCTGGACCCTGATGAAAGCTCTAGAATCATTTCTGATGAGATTCCAAAGAAAGATTTTGAGAAGGATTAAGGGACCGATGTGTATCAACAATGTATGGAGATTGAGGCAAATCATTGAATTAATGAATGAATGAACAAATCTTGATATTGTCCCTTTGATAAAAATTGGACACATAAGACGGGTATGGCATATTGCACGCATGGATAACATTGAAGTCCCTAAAATGCTCCTTTTAGGGACAAAAAGAAGCATATTTTAGTAATTTTCATTTCTTGAAAATCCGATCTATAGAAATAGAAAATGTGGATGATATTTTAATATTACAGTTTAATTAAAAATCCTCTTCTATTTGAAACATTTGTAAGAGATTAAAATATTCTACTATACTACATAACTTTAGAATTCCTTACCTGATACAGAATACGCCCTTCCCTGAGTTCTATTGAGATGAAAGACGAAAGTCCAGGGGCTAAGAATAACAATCCTTCGCTGGCGTAGGTGTTAAATCTTAAAACTATTTCTGTGGTAGTATCCAATTTGTATGGTTGGCTACCAATGGAAATGAAGCCATCACCGTTAAAACGACACCCAGCTTCTCCAATTTTCCTTATTCCTCTAAAATACAAATAAACTGATACAAATAAATGAACTAAAAAATAACTGTTTCATCTTCAAAATAATTTGACACTATTTGAAAACTGCAATCACTTTTTCTCTGCATATAAACTCATTTCATTTTTAGTTCAACTCATTTCATATAGTCGAGTAAATTGAGTTAGACTACACTTTAATACACATCTAAGAACGCAAGCACCCAACCCAAGCCCTAGAAATATATAAGCATCCTAGAAGAAATGAACATATCAGCCTGCAACGATTTAGATTTCAGCAGATCTGGCCTTCGAAAAAGTCCTAAATTTTGGCTTAAAAGTGGTTATTGGGTCAATTCGACAATTCTTCCTTGATGTTATCAATTGTTTTTTCCATGAAAAGCTCTTTGAAATCAAAAAGTAAAGGGCCCCCCAAGAATCCAACCTCTTATAGACCAATTTGTCTCCTGGACACTATGAGCATGATTATAGAGAGAATTGTTTATAGCAGAGTGATTGACTACAATAAATGAGTCTGGACTGTCTAATAACCAATATAGTTTTCATTAGAGAAAATTGATGACTGAGGCAGTTATTTATGTGATAAGATCAGGGAAACCATTTTTGGATAGAGGTGGAAAGGGGATGCTAGGAAGTACTGCACCAACATAGCACTGTAAGAAATGCATTCAGTGCAACACAGATGGGTTGTATTGTACCATGGAAGAATTATGAAGGAAAGAAGTGCCACAATACCTCATGAGGATTATTAAGATATACCACTCTTAAAAAAATCTTGATATGACAGATGTTGAATTGAAGACATATAAGATCACGGATGGCATACTTCTGGATTCTGTTGTGGGCCTCCTGTTGAATGTGATTTATGAAAAACTGCTCAAGATCCCTATGCCAGAAGAAACTGCTATGCCTAACTTTGCAGATAACCTCACAATCATTGGAGAGTCGCAGCAGTGCTGTATGTTGAATTGTTGCCAACCTGCATTTCTGGCGGGTGAAACGTTCTGGAACCGCACATGAGAAACATACATCGGAATACAAAAACACCCCATTATAAATGGTGTTAGTAGCTAGATATCTAAGGCCCTAAAATGGGTTCTATCTGGTTGACTAAGGCTAGGTCCTATTTCCCAAATAGTCCAAATTAGGGTTCACATTAGAACTTCTTCGAAACCATATAAGATAGGCAACCACATTGCTTGGCCTATTCTCGTACCTTCAATGCCAATACTGACAGGATGTATCCAATCCATTTTTCTTCTCTGCAGGATTGCCTGAGTCTTTGTTGCAGCCATATGCAACCTCACTCTCTCAAATCATTGTTCTCCCAGACTGGCTCACTGTTCTGATATTTCCTTTATTTTGGCTCTGCCGTTTGACGCCACTAGAGCTGACAGGTTTTTGATGTAGGCCATCGCGGGAAATCGCTCTTACTTACAAAGTGAACAATCTAATCATTATCCTTTGGCCATCACCATTGGGCATCAAACCTCAGATATCTAATAGATGTCTCGGAATGGATATAGAAACTCCCAATAATCAGTGTGATTGTCTCTCTGACTTTCTTACTAATAATAAGCACTAACTTGGTTTTATGATTAGCAAACTGGAGGCCTAATGATGGAAGCCAGAGTGAGAAGGTATTGATTGATTCTGCAGGCTTGCTATGAAATAGTTCAGTCACCATTCCAAATAGTGTCCAGAATTTCATGCATCTACCATTATCCTAGCTGAGAATTCTTCATTCCCTCTTTAGCTCTATTCATAGTAAAGCAAGAGGCCAAAACTCTTCAATACTCAAAAAATTATTCAATATAAAAAATTATTCCGGTTAAAAAAATGGGAAAATTAAGAATATTTAATTAACATTAAAAATTATTTCTCTTTAAATTTTGATTTAAATTAATTTAGAAAAATTAAAGATGACATAATTAATTTACCTTTCCATTGTAGCCTGAATGTTTTCAGCTTTCTGGAAATTCCAAAGGCCAATAGCAGATTCACCAAAATACACTTCTTCTATTGTACCAACAAATGAGTAATAGCTAACGTCAGCAGGACTCTTAAAATAGCTTGGAATGCCTCCAATAAAAAATTTAGATGATGTCTTATCCAAATTTAATATTGTTGATGAACCTTTCATTACTCCACTGTTGACACACATATCACCATCCTTCTGTCTAGTTATACTTAGTGTTAAACTCTTTCCAGTTCTGAATAACATATAACAAAATAACTTAATAATTAATTGAAATTGTTTATAATCCTAAATATATATATATATATATATATATATATATATATATATATATATATATATATATATATATATATATATATATATATATATAGGTATATTAAAACAATTTTTATTACCTTTCAACTTTTACAAAGTACCATTGTTCATCAGATACTTTAATATCACAGATTAATGTAGTAGCACCATCTCCAAGGTCTACCGTCAACTTAGGAGTTTCATTTTCTATCTCAAGTACCATGAAGTCACCCTTTGAAATAAGCATAGGATTATTTGTTATCTTTGAAAAGATTATTGATACTCTTAAGAATATAATTTTAAAAATTGTTAAATGTTCTTTATAAGATTGAAATAAATGTCTTATTCTATACTGAAAATAATTATATAATACTTACTGTATTTACTGATCGTTTCTTCTTTTCAGCTTCATTTCCTATGAAAAACAAAAGTCCATTTGCCTCTTGAGTAGCAAAGTACAAGGAGAGAACATTGTTGACACCCTGCTCAGGAAGACCTGGAGGGTTGCGAAGTTCTAATGTACTAGTACGATCAAATTTAACTGCAGTTGATACACTACAAGAAAGGAAATTAATATTACATAAAAATTAATAATTGTAATATGAATTATATTTATATAACATACCTGTTTGCCAGCTCTCTTGCCAATTCTATTTGCCTTCCTAGTTCAGCTAATTTATCTTTCAGATTATTATGGTCACTTTCCATTTTTCTGGGACGATCTTTTAATTTAGATGCAAGATCTTTTGTATCCGGTAATATTTTTAATATGTTATCAACTATTAAATTAAATAGATTATTAGAAAATCGTTCACTGGTAATTTTTATTTATAAATTCAGAAATAGAATTTAATAAATCCTAGAACTATAAATTTACTTACAAAACCTCATTGATGACACAATAGTATGTTTATGTTTGACACTATGTTACTCTTATATTTAGATACTTCTGGATATTTTACCATTATTTATGTTTTCATAATCTTTAAAACATCAAGTGTTGCTTTGAAAGCTTTTTATATCCCTTAAATATCAGTGATCGTACAAAATTTAATATATATATATATATATATATATATATATATATATATATATATATATATATATATATATAATTTTTTTTTTTTAAATTACCACAAGCTGATCCACATGAATTATTTAAGTTGAGTTTAAGAAAATGGAAAAAACAACATCATAACAATATGTTAAAAACATACTGTAATTTACTTACTAGCCGAGTTCACTCCATTTATGTCATTTTCACTGTCTTTTATGTTCCTTTGTATTTCTTTTGATACATCAAGTTTTTGAGGAAGTTCATCCACAATACCTTTAATATTTTCTATGACCTCTTCAGCACCTCTAACTGCTTCATCAGCAAGTTCAGTTCCAGTATTGACATTTGTTTGTCCAAGAGTGTCAATAGTTTTATTTAAATTACTAAAAAATAAGATTGTGTTCAATAAACTAAATATTCTTTATGTAATGAATATAATAATAAACATAATATAATATAAAGAGCAAAGATAATATCAAATAAACTACTCAAAAGGAATAGAAATACTAGTAAATGAAACAACATTAAATACACGTTCAAAGTGTGAATCCTTCCTGCACAAGCACATCTTAACATCTTTCAATATTCATATTGTTTTAATAGTCAACAAAACACTCTGAAGAAAAGGTGCTCATTAGGTAGAACTAGAAAAAGGACTTCTTTTTTTTTTTTTACGTTTATGTTAAAGATCCTAAATTATCAGTTCCTGGCAGCCTTCAAAATGAAATAACTTCAATGACATTGTGAAAAAATGTTTACTATGTAAGATCGTGGTATGCAAAGAAAAAATCAAACAACTAGGAACTGTACCAAATCTGAAATGTGTAAAATGAACAGGATTTCATCCTCTCTTATTTTCTTTGGAATGTTCAAATATTTTCTTAAAATGGATTTCATAAATATAGACAATTCAAATCATATAATAATGGGATTGAAACAGATTGATTTAGAAAATTCTTGTCAAAATGAATTATGAACTACTGTAGGAATTTCAGTGGTATTCTCAAAACATATTTGTGTGTCTGCATACTCATTCACACTAAATGAAATATCTAGAAATAAAATAAATGAAAGAAACCACTTTTCTCTTTTGGTTACAGAAAATTAAAAAACAAATAAAATAAACATTGTTTAAGAAATTTATTACAAATATGATACCTCTCAAGCTCTTGAATATCGCCCTCAATATTGCCTTTCTTCATCTGAATGCTTTCAATCTTATCTTTTTCACCTTTAAGCTCTGGCTCCAGTTCCAATTGTGACTGACTTAGGGTTTCCCTAGCGTCGTTGTAAAGAGATGTAGATTTATCCCTTGATTCAAGTGCTTTACCTCCAATACCTTCGGACTATTAAATAGACAAATATTAAGCAGCATAAAAATACAGTTTATATAAATATTAAATTTTTAAATATATACCTCATCATAAGCTCTCTCGGCAGTCATTTTTGCATCATTGGCAATAATTAAGGTGTCTCTTAAAGTGTTGACAATGGTCTTATAACCCTGTACAGCATTAGTATCATGCTCATGTTCTTTTTCGATGTTTTTAAGTTCTTCACCCTGAATTCAAAATAAATAATCAGCTAAAATTAAATAAACATCACTTATTATGAATAGATATTCCACCAAGAAGAGTATTATAGGCTATATGTGGGGAATGTATGGATTTAATAGAGACTAGCTCTTGTATTTATTCATATACAATTAAACAAATAATAAAAATTTGAAAATTAATAGAATCCTTAAACAAATAAAAGTACCAACAGTGAAGTATAAAAGTGGCATCTAATGGTAAAAAGATTTTCCACCTATGTCATAAGCTGTTATTATTATGGATAAGTCATTATCAACTTAAGTGTGTTTTAAAGGGTCGTAAAAATAAATTACCTGGTGTTCCAATTCCCTAGCATGGTTAGTGGCTTCTAGAACAAGTTCCGTTAGTTCATCAATTTCTGATTTTAAAGCATCTATTTTTTTAGTTGAATCACTTAGGAAATCCTCCCATTCAGTTTTGTTATCTATAAATACAAATTTAAATAATGTTGATAAATAAATGTTTGAAATAAGATTTTTTATTATGTTATTGATGTCATGAAATTATTGATGATTTAAACAAAGATAACATCATTTGTAAAATCTAATTAAATTTATCCTCTAGCACTTGCAATAGATCTGAGAATTTACCTTCATCAGATTTTTGCAATATTAGTTTATTCTTATTTCCTTAGCTTGACAGAAGCAAATAGCAGTCCCTGGCTTTTTCAACTTCTGCCTTCCACTTTTCCCTATCCATACACCATCAACTGCTGTAAGTCTTGGAGTACACTACACCGACTCTTGGGTCTCCCTCTACTTCTCTTAGCCTCTGGTGTATCCTCATAGAGTCTTTTTGGTATCCTGTTGTCTTTCATTCTCATTAAGTGACCAAACCACTTCAGTCTCTAGTTCATTATAGACCCAAGGTTCTAGATGCTGCTTACTATTTATTAATTTCTTTGAGAGTGAGCATACTTCTTTCTTCTGAGAAATACTACCTTAGTGCTCTCTTCATTGATTTCCAGCTCTACTCTGCTGGTTTCACTTTCAAGCTTTCCAATGGCAGCTTTAATAGAGTTCAGAGACCTCCCAACTATAGCCACATCACCCCCATAAGCAAAAAGCTGTCTGGTTTTTATTAAATATAGTCCCCTTAACATCTAGCTCAGCTCTATTTATGACAATATGGAGAGCATAGCTTAAGAGGAGGGAGGTCAAAGGGTCACCCTGCCTAAACACAATCCCAACATTGAAAGTGTCAGAGATATTTCTAAAACACTTTACTTGTTTATTAATATTGTTTTATATATTTATTTAATTTGGAATGAATCACCATCTCAGCCATTCCTTTGTATGGTTTACATTGTATGACAGGCCTTTAAATTGATGAATATCATCCTAATTGCCTGATTGAATTCTTTCATTTTCTTGCATGTCAATCTCAGCGGGAAAATTTCATTTAAGGTGGATCTCTAGCATGAAAACCTCTCCGATATTCATTAGTTCCTTTTTCTACATACGGCAGCACTGTACTATAGTGCGCAATTGAGAATATCGTATAAGCTGTGCCAAGCAAGGATATACCACAATATTAGTTTATTAATAACATTTTCTGGCTGAAAATAATAGTAAATTCTTTTCAGGAGACAAGAGAACAGTTTCACTCACTATTATAATTTGCTGACTTGTATTAAGTTATTTTCATGAAATAAAACATTCCTCAAGTTAAGGCGTTTCATTTCTCTCCTTCACAAGCCATAAAAGTAATTATAATTTTCAAGATCCTCCATGATTAAAACCTATCTAGAATATGTGTAGCAGTATTTAATACTGTATCAAAAGAATGTTGAGGAAAAAGAAGTGGGTTGATTAAGACATTTTTTTTTCTAGTGGTTTTCATTAATATATTTTCATATATATTCATTAATATATTTCAGGCAAAAATAAAATGACATGGAATATGAATTATAAAAAAATCAGAAGGTAATAACATAATTTACAGTAAATTTAATTTGGTTTTGATAATATGAAAGATATAGCTGTAATTTCTTGGATCTTTCATGTTATTGTGTGTATTGGAGTAATATATAACATTGCATGAGCTAAAAGGGACAAAGTCTTCAATTAAAACAAATAATGATTTATTAAATACACAATAAAAATCAAGAAAACAAAAAAGATTATATAAAATTTATTCCATAATTTTTTTTTGTTTTTATGCCTGAAACTTTCATTAATAACATTACTTTCTACATAATAAACCTTCATAATCTGCAATCAAAATATTAAATTTTGTTGTTTAATTTTTTTGTTTTGGCTTATTTTCATTAATTGTAATAGTGTGCTTACTTGTAAATTGTCTATACAGATCATTTGAAACTCGTGACAGTAACTCATTAGTTTTCTCCAGTAATTCATCAGCTGCTTTAAGTGTATTACTTGCATTTCCTTCTAGGTTTTTAATTGTTTTGAACTTCTCTGGTATGTTGTGTTCCCTAAAGAAAAATTACAATATTATTAAAACAAATCAATATAGATAATTATTTTGAAGAGAAAACCCCATAACTTACAACTTAATAATTTATTATATAAAATGGAAAAATCTGGTGCGCACATCACTCAACTTTCACTTACAACTCTATTTTGAATAGAAATTATTTTCTGACAATGTTGGGATAATATAAAATTTTGATTGAGCTAAAGTTTAAACCTTACAGCTAAGAACTCCTTAATACATTAATTAAAATATTAAATATAAAAATTAATTACAACACATTATTAATAATTACATTACTAATATGAAATATAAATTAATAAATTAATTAAAATAACGCAAACCGTATTTACCATATCCACGTTAGGCAATAAAAATCTCGTAACTCCATTTTTTTTTGTAAACCACATAACTCCAGTTTCTGAGCTATATAATAATATAATACCTAGGAAGATTTGAAAATACGTTTGCATAGTTAGCCAATAAATATTTATGGACTGTACTATTATTAGTTATTAAACTTATTTTTCCATTACGAAATTTACTAAAATGGAGTTACAAGATTTTCATTATCTATTATCGATAAATGAAAATTCATCAAATTATTCACTAATTTAATTTTCTAAAATATACATGATGACATGATCGATTTTTAACTTTGACTGCTGTAGTTACTCAGTTAGATTTCACAAATGTTTTGAAACCATTTTAGCTCAAAATAATTGAAAAAAAATTATATTATAGTTTAAATATCTCGATTATTAATTGATTTGAAATGATATCATGTGATCATATGCTATGAAAATGAGTTTTATCCATCCTGAGAGAATTTATTTCCATATCTACTGAAACATCTTGGTACATTGATGGGGAAATTGACATCTACGAATATTTAAACTTGATGTAGTAGGCGGGTTCCTATCACACCTCAAGACTCTTTCGGATGTTGACATGCTCTGATACTTGAGATGAAATATATTTTCCTGATGCCATAATGTGTAGTGAAAGGAACCCAACCACTACACCAAGTTTAAATATTCGTATATGTCAATTTCTCCATCAATCTACCAAAATTTTTCAGTAAATTTGGAAGTACATTCCCTTATAGTAGATAAAATTTCCAAATTTCTGTTGTTCGGTTATTTTATATTATTTTTTTTTTTAAATATGAAATCAGATCTAGAATTATTAAACTACAGTAAATGTATTTAAGGTTATAAACATATGTTTTACAAATCCATGAAATATTTTAGGTCCGCCGTCCGCACATTTTCTCCGAAACTACTGGACCGATTTTTTTCAAATTTTGATATAAAATCAGAGGTCACCGAGGATGATCCTCCTTCATCGACATTACTCTCCACTTTTAACTTTCAAAATGGCGGCCGAAAAACCTGCTATAGACTGTAGCTCCTAAACGAATGTACAGATTTCAATGAAACTTCCCCAAAGTCATTTTCTCGACGCCCTTTAAATTTATCTATATAACATACTTCAACGAAAAGAAGCTGGAAAAAAGTTACGAGGGATGGTAAAATTAAATTCCATAAAAGGGGGATGGTAAAATTAAACTTTTTTGTGGATATTGTGATGAGATGTTTCAAAGGTATTTAAATTTCCTAAAAAATGAAGGAAGTTTCATAGAAATCAAAGCACTATTAGTAGAGATATCGCGGTTTTTACATATTTTGGTTTATTATTTTCAATAATGAAACATTGTGATTGACCAAAAAATTCAAAAACATAACCCCTCTCAAAATTTGAGGTTTCACGTTTCAAGAACACAATTTTAAAAATTTATATTTTGATAGGAAATTTCATTTAATTTGCTTAGAAATATCTGATTTCCATTAAATAATTTTAGTTTTTAAACATTATTATTTATAATTTTTTCGTCACTTCATTACCTTCTACGACTTTCTATATTAAATATTGTTTTTTTCTAAAATTCTCAGCTTTCCAATGATATATTATACATATAACTTAGGATTATTATTTCCAATGATTCATTTTCAACCTAAACAAACATTTTTCCTTTATTTTCAATTATAAAATTCTTCCAAAGGTTATATTTAGCCTTTTGAAATTACTACTAATAATGAGAATTAGTTAATTATTTAAAATAAACATAGGACATAGAGATTTTGAACATAGGACATTTAATCCCTGTTAAGCAACATCAATTGGTACAAGACCTAAATTATATTAAAAATCATTCAATTATACATTGATACACTGAGTTTAATCAATATCGTAGAGCCATTGTTGAGAAAAATATGTAAAATTGATGATGTAAAGTGATACTTCCGGTTAGCCGATTTTAAGGAAAAAGTTGCTGTAACATCCCATATATACACTAAACTTAAATATGTCTTTTCAGTTAAATATGTTTTATCCAATATTATTTATATAAACATATCTATATTGAAATCTGAGTAAAAACATACTGCAATGACCAAAGAATGAAAACAAACATTTTAAAGTGAACCTTGTAAACTGATGTTTTATGTTGCCATTAATAGTTAAGATAACCAGGTATTTTTTGTCCCCAAGCTGGATGCACCTGCTCGTTATAAAGGTAGATGTGGGTTAGAAAAATGTTCAATCAGTGATTTTCTTTGTGATGTATAGTAAAAATGTTTCAGTAGAGCCTCAGTCACCAAATTTATGCTGTATGTTTTAATTGTAAAGATTTATAAGATGCGTAAGTTTCATTTGGTGGACGGGGTGGCCGAATGGGCTAACACGTGTGCACAGCACCACCGTTGCCTGGCAGCCTGATATATGACAAATGTATATTATAAATATAGTCACGAGTTCGCGTCCCGGTGCCAAGGTGTCTTTTAAATCCCCGCCCACACCCCCTGGCCAGGGAAAACGCCGTATAGCCTTAACGGTGTGGACCCAAAAAAAAATTTCATCATTTTTCACTCAATTCCTTTTGTGATATTCAACATAAAATATCATCAACAACAACGACTTTTGATCATTATGCTATTAGTACAGTGTTAAGAATACATATGGAAAAAGAAATTAAAATGGAGACTCTTTTCATTATTATACTTTTGCAGTGCTAAAAGCATTGTTTCTTGTTAATTTTCATTTTATAGTTGTCAATTTTTTTAACAACTTTCCTCAGTACTTGGGGAGATCTATTGCGAGGATAAAAAAAATAGGGCAAAACATCTAATATAAATCAATATTTACATCACCAGACGAAGGACCAAATCCTGTTATTTCTCACATGACAAATAAAACTCAAGGAGAAGTCACCGTTAGTGAATCACTGATTTAAAACGAAATTGTTTTGTTGCGTCTATAATAAAAAATATTGGACACAGGTTCCAGCCATAGCAAGCGAGAAAAAAAAATGTATATTTTTTAAAACAAAATTATATTATTGTATTTTGCCTTTACTTTGTATGTACTTCTAGGTTTTTGTATACAAATGGATTTTTTTTATTGTGTAAAGTAAGAAAAAATATTGCTTATAGAATCAAATGAACTGAAATTACAAAAAAACAAAACAAAAGGCACTCACTGTAAGGTCCTAAATTCATAAAAAAAAAATCTTATGGATAGGTGGAATTGACTTGAAATTCTCTCTATATTTTGTGATTTTTCAAAAAATAAAAATGAAGACTCTAAATTTTTATTTTATGATTTATATACAAATTTGTATTATCGAGGATTTTTGGAGATAAAAATAACAAATATTAACTTTATCTTTCTAAAAATATTTTACCTACACATTACTGAATCAGTTGCTTTGTTTTAATATTTTACTATAACACTGCTAAATTAGAACGACAAATCACACCGCAAATAATTGCAAAAATATACATTTTATATCTACACTTGCTTACTAATAAAAAGAATTTAGTCAAAATGTATGAATATATTACCGATTTTTTTTTGTTTGTTCACTGAGTATTTTTGCTTTTTCCAAACTTTGAAGGGAATGTTTTTTTAGATCTGCAAGTTTATAATTCAATGATTTTATATCTTCTTCCAGTTTGGATATCAATCCAACTCTTGTATCAACAGGTGATTTAACTTTTCTGACATCCTGTAAAAGTTTTTCAGCTCTTGCAAGGTTATTTTCACGTATAGAATTGCCATCGTGCTGTGGCTGATATGCCTGTAAGTCACTCAATATTCTTTGAGCTTCTTTCAAATAATCAGCAAATCCAGAGCTAGGAAAGTACTTTGAACCTAGAAAAAAAAAATACCAAACAAATCTTATAATTATATTATAAACAAGTAATCTTAACTAGTTAGTAATTTTAAAGAATTGAGACTGACTAATACAATACTATTACATTTCATAGTTGTAGAATTTAAATTACATTATTTTTATTGCTCAAAATAATTTTATTAATTATGTTTAAAGAAATCCACAAATTTTAAACCTTTTTTACTTTTTTACTAGTTTATTTTTTTAAGGGAGATTTTAGAAACAGTTGGTCAGTTTATATTCATTTTGTCAAAGGTATAAATAAAAATAGAATGAAGATGATTTGGAGATTTTATTGCTTTATATAATTGTTTTGTTTTTTTATAATCATGGTATTATAATATTAATTTCTTTTGGGTAGATTAAGGTTTCACAGAGGGTTTCAACTTATGATTGAAGGTGTAGTTTCTAAGAAACTCTCTAAGCTATACTGAATAACCTATCCTCAAGATGAACATAATATTAGAGGAAATGCTCTAATCATTTTATCTGTTTTTATACTCTCTTATAATTATGGCGATGTTCGACAGAGTAGAATACAGCCACTTTCTGTATAATAGTGACTTAATAAAACATATAATGAGTCATATTAAAAAAAGTTTTTTTTAAATTTATTTATTTATGAAATTTACAACTGTACAAATTAATATACATTCAGCAAATGTGATTCAAAGAAATATATGACGTAACAAGGCTTGTAGAGAATCTATCCATTGGTAGCACTCTAATAAAGTATCTAAATTAGGAGATCACGAGGCCATTTTCTTTTCAGACGCCAAGGAGGATTATCAGGGATCTAGGAGAAAGCAAGGTTATAAACGAGAGGATTAGGATGGTTCTGAAGTTTATTATGGAAGGATAGATATCTGGATTGGGCCAATTCGAAAACATATAGAACATTCAGATCATTATGGATTATTTTATTTGTTACAAAGTAAGGAGCATTAAATATTTTATGAAGGATTTTGGATTGTAAAGATTAAGTCCAAATAGGAATTTTATGGTCATGTATATGAGTCTTTTGTAATTAATTGAAAGGTTAGAGCGTTTGTCTATTAAGTGCTGAAGTAGTCGGAAACGTTGAGCGGTTTCTTGTCGTTTCAGTCTGGTATAATGATTCCAAGTTAGACGTTTGTCCAGGTGGAATCCTAGGTATCAGATTTGCTCAACAGGGATATTATTAAAAAAAAAGTAAATTATTTTTGCCTTACCTACACCATTAGAGAAGCTTTCAGCTATATCCTTTATTTCCATGACCGATAGCTGGGCCTCTCCAATGGCCTTGTCAATTAAATCTTCTGTGTCTTCAAATTCTGTTCTTAATTGCTTGTCCATAGTATTATTAGTTTTGTCAACTATATACTCGGCCTAATTTCAAACAAAAATACAACAATAACTTTTTCAATGGTAAGCATAGACAAAGAAAAAAAAAAAAAATGACTTACTGTTCTTTTTAGTTTGTCAACATCATCTTCAATAGAATCTAAATTTTTCTTAATCGGAGAAAATTTTCCTTCTACATTTTCTAGTTCTGAGACTTTGGGTCTTAATTCATTTATATTTTGGTTGATAAAAACAATACGTTGTCTAGTAAAGAAGCTTTCATTGAAACCCTAAAATAATTGATAAACATCATTTATTATACATTGTAGTTTATTCAGATAGTGATCAGTCTCTAACATTTATTTAATAAATAAAAAGGATGAAAAAATTAAAGCAGATTATTAATTAACAAATAAAAACAAGTAATTTGCTTAATTTAATCAGAAACATAAAATATTTACATGATAAATTATATTGATTTTATCATGATGGAGATTTAGCCATTAACTGCATTGGTGGACAAAATTAACACATCGCCACAAAATTTGATACTGTAACAAATAAACTACCAATATTCAAAATACATTTAAGTATTGAAACTATTATTTATTATCTAATTTAAAATTTAAAAATATATAAAATTTATAATTATAATATATGCTGCAATTTCTATAAAAATCAACTTAATAGCTCATGCTTATGGTATTCTTGGCTTCTAGTATTTGCTCCTTTATTTGACATTTAGCGAATAAGAAGGAATGAATAGGAATGTTGGGTTGCACTATGAATTAGACTCATTTATGCAGTGGACAAATGGTTTAGTGACAAATACCAAATGAATAAACAATTGATGAAAAAGGTACAAAACAAAGAAAGGAAGAAGCCTGGAAAAGTGTTCGGCAGGTGGAAGCAGCTGGAGAAGGTCGCGGAAAGGAAAAGACTTCATTTGAGGCAAGGACAGGGAAACGGAAGGACGTGAAGAAAGGACAGAAACCCACTTCCCTGAAGATTAAGAAGATTAATTCATTTATTCACTTATTACAGTTGTGGAAATAAATTAATTTGTTATAAAGAAGTGGAGAGTCTTGTAATTAACCAAGACCTCTGATAAAAACAGCAGGTTATTTACATGCTACTGCCTCTGGCATGAAAATTATGATGATTAATCAACCTCCAATATCTTTAAATAGGTTATTAACGAATTAAAGTTGTATATGGTCCGAATCTTCAATAACTGTTGTTTCCAACTTTTTAAGTGCCTCGTAACGAATTTCGTTAACCACATACCGTGCTTGAAGAAAACACATGTTCAATAAGATGAGATTTATATTCTGAGTTGTAAATCAAGGAATATGATATCAATCTTCTAGAGATACTCAACTACATCCTAAACTGTGTATGTACAAACATGCTTCAGCAGGAACCTGTTTCCAATGAGGAGGATAAATAGCACTCGGAGCTGTTCATCGAAGTATTCCATGTACCTAATAATGTATTGATTTAAGAACTTGTCGGCACAAGCACTAATTAATTCTATAGGTATTAGAATAATAATCTTTCCACGCTATTCGGATTGAAAAGCACCCATGAAGGTCTGAACTTTGGGCCATAATATAAAAATAAATATAATTATTTATATTTACTATTTTTTATTTTGACTGATCACCCCAACCATCCTCTTCAGTTAATAGAACTACTATTTTTAAAAAATAATCAAATTTATATTTTAAAAAAGGTTATTCTATGATACATTTTTCATTTCTTCTTTACCTTTAATTGGCAAATATAGATGGAAAAATAAGTCACAGCTTTCTAACTATAATTATTTATAGTCTATAATTACTAAATTAAGACTGAGAGAAATACAACATTGCATCCTGGGTATGACATTAAACTGCATCCTGGAGGATCCTACCTCATAGCCGTAGTGAATGCAATTTGTCAAGGAGAAGGCAACTACGAAATCAAACCAAGGGTAGGTTGGACTCTTCATCTGTTGTGAAAGCAACTAGCCTTGGGGAGGAAAACTCTGAAGACAAATGACCCCGTCCTCCAGGTTAGGGGTTGAGCCAACAACCCCTCCTCGGAAAAAATTTAATGTACAGGAAACTGAGTTAAAAGGAAAACTGGATGTTTCTAATGATAAAAGAAGTTTCTAAGCGCTCTCAATGGACTAAACTGAAATGGAAACAATGTGATATTTCATTACCCACATGGAATGCAAATAGAATGTTAAGACCGGGCAAAATGAAAGAAATTGCGACGAGGTCATAAAGCATAATATAGATGTTACGGCATTGCAAGAAATAAGATGGAGTGGAAATGGAAGAATTGATAAAAAGATGTTCTACATATTATACAGTGGTCCAGATAAGAAAACTGGTCAATCAGAAACAGGACTCTTTGTGAATTGTAAGTTGAGACATACTATTCTTAATTTTGACCTAATATATGACCAGTTATGTAAACTAAGGGTCAAAGGTAGGTATAGAAATATTTGTCTGTTTTCCGCATAAACCCCAACAGAAGATGCTGATGATAACATCAAAGAAGAAATTTACGATATACTGGAAAGCAACATTGAAAAAGTGCCCAATACGATGCAATTGTGCAATTAGGACACTTCAATGTGAAAGTTGGGAGGGAAGAGGCACTAAATGAAGTCGCTGGAAAACACTCATTGCATGAAATAACGAGTGAGAATGGTCTGTTATTGGGCCAATGTACAGATTTCGCATAAAAAGCTCATGTTTTCCACATAAAAACACGCATAAAGGCACTTGGAGTGAACCTGGAAGAGATGTTGTGAATCAAATAGATCACGTCCTTATATCAACAAGACATTAATCAAACATCAGAGATGTGAGAAGTATGAGAGGCCCTAACTGCGATTCAGACCACTTTTTGGTTTTGAACTAAGTTGAGGCAAATGTAGTAGATGGCCTCTAGTATTTACTCCTTTATCTGATATTTAGTGAGGGAATAAGAAGGAATGTAGAGTACAATTTATATACACTATGAATTGTACTCAATTATGCAGTAGACAAGTTGTTTATTGAAAAGTATCAAATCGATAAACAATCGACGAAAAAGATACAGAACAAAGGGCTCACAATTGAAGAATAACAAGCCAGATGAGTCAATTCATTCAAAGTGAATTTACTCTGTAACACATTTCATACTTATATATTCTTATTATTTCTTGTTACTCAGTGTCACAAAAGCATTAGTTTCCTGAATTCCCAACAAAAGTAACCACCCTAAAAAAAGTTTATATCGAATGCCGGGGTTTTGTTTTAAGAAAATTAAATTCACGAATAGACTCTCAACAAAACAGAAGGCTATTTACAATTGGCATCAAACAGGTTATTTACAATTACCGCCCAAACAGGCTATTTACAATTGTCCCCGAATAAGGATATTTATACAAAGGACAGCAAAGATGGCAAAAGCAGAAAATAAACAAAATGGGACACTGAAAAATTAACAGTGGAGAACAAACTGAGGAATTTTTAAGAGGTTATGGAGAGAGAGAAGTTGGAGAAAAACCAATCAGAAGACGAAAGCAGGGAAAGTGGGCCAATTGAGAAGAAAATCTGTAGAGAGAAAAAGAGAAAAATGATTAGTAAAAGGCTCAAAAATATAGAAATATTGAACAGTGTGCACGAAAGCAGGAAATTGTATAAGAGAATTAATTGGTTCAGGAAAGAGTATCAGCCAGATCTGAATAATTGGAAAAGTAAAATGGAAGAGGCTTTGGATAGAGAAGGAGAGATGATTAACAGGTGGAATGAGCACTTCTCGGAGTTCCTGAACATTGTTCTGAAGGAGGAGGATGTTGAGAATGAAGAAGAGTGTCTGGTATGGCAACCACAATCACTAGTTGATCAACCTGACAAAGAGGATATGGAGTTTGCCATCATAGACTTAAAGAACAGTTAAGTAAGGACAAGATAGTTGTGGAATTGATTAAATGCTGCAGTGATAAAATGAAGACCCTGATGTATGAGTTGATCTGTGACGTTTGGAGAGAGAAAAAGTTGCCGGATAATTGGATTAATAAGTCCTATTCTTAAAGAAGGTAGCAAGGATCTGTTCACAAATTATAGAGGAATAACACTATTGGGAGTCCTGTATAAACTGCTTTCTAATTTAATATTAAAAAGGCTGCAAAAATACGTTGAGAAATTTTAGATGATTACCAATGTGGTTTTAGTGCTAGCCAAGGTACTACAGATCAAATTTTTGATATAAGACAAATGACGGGAAAATGTTACGAATATGATATTGGTCTCTACTCATTATTCATTGACCACTGTTAAGAATGTTAATGAAAAATGGAGTGCCACATAAATTATTTAATTTAATATGCATGTTATTCATGCCATGCAAGATGCAGCTAAAAAAGGCAATATCTTTGATAAGACCTGGCAAATCTGTGACTAAGCTGATGACCTGGTGTTTGCTGCCCGAAGTAAAAAGGCACTTAAAGAGGCATTTGAGATAATATATAAAAATGGCTACAAAGTAGGGCTTGTGGTGAATGAAAACAAAACTAAACACCTAAAACTGTCCTCGGCAGCAAGTAGAAGATCCTGCAGGGAAATCAAAATAAGGAATTTTAGGTTAGAAAATGTACCCACATTTATGTATCTCGGTTATGCCCTAAATAATGAAACTGTAATCAGCAGAGAAATAAACAACAGAATAAGGGGTGATAGTAGAGCCTACTATGCAAACCTAAAACTTTTAAGTCTCCATTGTTGTCAAAAGATACAAAATTAAAGCTGTATAAAACGCTTATTAGACCAGTAGTCACCTATGGAGCAGAAACCTGGTGTTTATTGCAAGAGGATTGCCATAAACTTAAAGTATTTGAAAATAAAATAATTAGAAGGATTAATGGTGAGTGGAAAATGAAAAGTAACAATGAAATCAAGGCTATATTACAGAATCAAGACATTACTAACTATATCAAGGTGAGTAGGCAGAACATGTGGTCAAAATGGAGAATAAACAGGTACAGAAGAAGTGCACTTCAGTGGGAAGAGGAAAAGAGGAAGGCTGAGAAGCAGATGGAAGGATGAAGTGGAGAGAGATACAAGGAAGTTGGGAGTTCGCAATTGGAAGAGGGAAGCACAGGACAGAGAAAAGTGGAGAAGAATAACTCAGAAGACCAAGGGTCATACTGGCCTGTACCGTCAAGGAGTTTTTAGAAATACAACATTGAACAGCTACTCAACTATGTTGAGTTGCTAAATAATACAGTATACTCATCAATCAATAGATAATAGATAGATAGATCATTTTTTTTATAATACTGTAAAAAAATATAAGAGAGCGATAGGACCATTGGAATATCCAAGAACGGTTTATAGAATCAAATAAGCGGAGAAAAAACATCCTAAGAGGCTAACTTTAAAATTATAGTGTCTAAAAGGATTAAACAGAGATTAGAAAATAAATACATGTGGATTATTCATGTTATGATTAAACTATACCTACACTCTGATTGTTATTACCTTCCAATCCACTTTCAAAAACTATAGATATAGAGTAATTGTAACATAAACAAAATGATGTATTAATTTTGTCTGCCTATGTAGAAGCACACCAATCAGTTTTTATTTATATATAAGCTAGCTTAGAATATTTTTGATTTAAAAGTTAGAAGAGAAATCAATTGTGTTATATCAAAAATGAAACAATACAATACAAAGTGATGTTCATTTGGAACAGTATATATCAATTACTCACTGTAAATTCACGAGCAAAAGGGTCAAATTTGTTATGAAGAACATCCATTACATCCAGAAGATCATCAATACACTGATCACAAGAATAGCAGCCTTTTCCTTTTTCTAATACCCATCGGGGAGGACAATGATCACATTTCTCACCAATAACGCCTGGTAGACATTCACATTTGCCAGTATCAGGGTTACATCCCACTCCTATTGAATAACCAATGTTGCACGAACACACTGTAAATAAATTTGTAATGTTAGATCATTCTTAAGGAGAAAAAAATAACATTTGTTTAAGATATTAATTAAAGTGTTTCTACATTTGCAGCCCTCAGAGGTATAGTTCCAGTAGCCATGATCACACCTGTCGCAGGCTCTTCCAGTGACTCCAGGTTTACATTTGCATTGTCCTGTTTCCAAATCACATTGTGGGCTTTCTGAGGCTGGACCGCAATTACAAGACTGACAACCCTTAAAAAAAAATATAGATATAAATTAAATAATACATAAAAACAAAACAAAAGTATTTTAGGTAGGCTCAACCAAGACTGAACTTTTTGTACCAATCCCTCAGACCATCTAGATATAGCCATTTTTAAAAAAAAACATAATGTGAAAGTAGATTACTTTTGCAGGAATACCACAAAATAAATATTACTGATTCGGTGTGGATCGAATCCACACCATTATGAACCTTAAGACCATTTCCAAATGCTTACAATACATTTGCCACTGAAGTTATTGGATTGTCTAGAAAATATTGCATAGTTTCACGTATTCTTTATGTTTACTCTCACTAATTAACTGTTCACATTTGAGGGATTATTTTTTTGTTTGAGTTTCAACACTTATTGATCATCTTAAAAAAAAAAAAAAATCTTTTTACATTCTGTAGCACTTTTACTGGTTATAAATAATTCAATCTTTATTAAGATGTCAAAGCATAATTTTTGCAAAATTTCATTTTATGGATTTAAACACAGTTGGGACGGGTCCCAAACATTTTTAAAAAGTAAACGTTTCATTGATCCAAACTCATTGCAAAATGCGTTTTCAGAATTAGTTAGGAATATAATTAAATATTCTATTCAGAGGAAATGGAAAAATGACTACATTGCCAGAAATCTATTAAGAGTAATGAAGCATACTTTGTTAATAAAAATAGTTTTGTTTCATTTATTTTATTTTAAAACTATAAACCTAATTTAATTTCCAGACAACCATGTATAAAATTTTTGTTGTAAGGCCAATTATTGAATACAGTGCTCTTATCTTAAAGTTATGAGGAATCAAAGCTGGCTCTCCAAGTCTTGCAATAATTATGAAAATTCAGGGAATTAATTTTGGAGTTCATTATAATGATAATTATAAATTAACAGAAAGTACTAAAGATTAGCTTACTTGACAAGAACTGAGTCCATAATGATTTTCTAAACATGAATCACAAGCTTCTCCCTGCACATTTTCATGGCACTCACAAATTCCAGTTTTATGATCACAGCTTTTAGTTCCACACTTGTCACAAACACAACCTATATAACGATGAATAAGAATATAAATAAAGTATAATAAATATAAATGAATATGTTATATCAATACAAGTTATTATCTTTTTAAGTAAACAATAAATGTATTAATTTAGTACTTACTTTGACAGTTTTTACCAAAAACAGCATCACCATAAAAACCGGGAGCACAAAGATGACAAGCTTCACCATAGGTATTGTTGAGACATTTGATACATTCACCAGTGATTGAATCACAGGACCCGGGTGAATTAGGATCAATATTACCAGAGCATTCACAAGGTCGACAAATTCCATCTAAAACAGTATTTTGTGAGAGAAAGTAATGTTATTTATTTATCTATATAATCAGTAAATTAATAACAGTTTTGCTCTCAAATAATTTGACTGGCAAGCCGATATAAATAAAGAGAGCCATAATAAATTATCATAAAGTGACCTGGATATTATATATATTATAATATATATTAACCTGTACCACTACAACTCATGAATGGTCTGGGGTTCAGTACTATTTAGGGAAAGCACTGTTTCTAGGTCAATGGTTGTGCAAGGAGGTGATTTAACTGAGATCACGCTCAACCGTCAGGTTTTCCTCCTTAATTAATTATTTAATTAAGGGTACCCACTTTATAGTGGTTGGGTGTGCCCCAGGAGGGTCTCCCAACACAGGGTCGCCCAACGGCCAATGAAACAGATAAATAAATTTTCTGTCATGAGCCGGGGTTCAAACCTGAGACCTTTAGCATTGGAAGCTCAGTACCCTACCACTGACCAACCCCACTCCCATATATATATCAACTGATTTTGTTTGTATCAGTGCCTGACAGTTGATTGGCAATAAAATTAAGAAATTCAATGAAAGTACAGCATTGCATAAATGGCTATGCTTAGCAGTGACTTTTTTACATATATATTTATTTGTTATTACTTTTATACATCGATGATTTGAGATTCAGAGAAAGGAAGTATGAAGTTAATTCCTTTTAGTAGTACAGGTATTGAATCTTGATTTTTACTAAACCTTATATTTGAAATTAAAAACACAACAAAAATGCTCAAGTTAAACTTGTATTTATCCTGATCAGCGACTGAAAATCAACAAATAAATCATAATATTTTTTACCTCCTTCTTGTCGTGGCTTTCCATAGTAGCCAATTGCACATGAATCACAAAGACTTCCAAAATATCCTTTTTTACAATTGCAGCTGATTGAATCGCCATCTGGAGAAAGCTCACAGCTCACTGCAAAACTATTCAACTAAATTAAAACATATTTCTCAAACATTGAGCACTATTTCTATGTCATTTATGAGTACTGAATGATGGGGGCAGGGTGGCCAAGTGGGCTAACACATGTGTAGAGCACCACGCATTGCTTGGCAACCCAGATAGAAGATAATGTTATAAAATAATACCAACTTTGCGTCTCGGTGTCAAGGGAAGTTTTAACTTTTGCATTAATCCCCCGCCCTCACCCTCTGGCCCAGGATACTCCTGTATAAACTTAAAGTGAAGGAAGGCGAGGACAAAAAAAAAAAGAAAAAAAGAAAGGAGTAGCTTTTCTGCCAATTAAGTGTATCTTCTATGGAACTGCTTCAAATATTTTTTTAAAAAATCAGTGTTTTAGAAAGAGAAATGTATTCTTCAGGTGTTTTATTTCAAGGCATTTTTTGTTATTGTTAGCTGTTTAATTACAAACGATGCTTAATTTTCAACTTGAAATTTTTTTTTTTTTAAATTGTCTACTGGTGGATTTTATTTCTTGAGCCGATTATTTTTTAATATTTTTCATTTTTCATTATTATCTGACTATCCAGCATTAAGAAAAGGCCATATATGACAAAATCAAGGCAAATTCTGTATGTCAGAGACCAAAAAATTGACTAAGTCAAAGTCGTCAGTCTGCCATGTTTGGTTGCCATTTTGGGGCATTTTGAACACCTTTTTTTAAAGGGAATATTGGCTTTTTATAAATAAATAATTACAAGAGCACAACAATATGCTTTATACAGGAATATAGGAGGAGTGCACAGTAAGGAGGTCTGACCCACCATGTAAAAGAAGAACCACCACACAGACTCTTAAAGCTGTGACAAAAAGTACTATATGCTTGGGACTAGATTCGTAGTAAGGAAAACTTTCCAGAGCCTCATTATACAATAAAACTCAATAGGTACACAATATAATATTACTTCAATATCCTTAGAGTACATACACCTAACCAATCAGTGTAATGCAAAAGGATCGGATAAAGATGAGTAAGATAAGTTCTATGAGGAACTATAAAGAGCCATTGACTCCTGCCCCAAGTATGGCATGAAAATTGTGATGTGGGGAACGAATGCCTAGGTAGGCAAACAGTAAGTACATTTCTCAACCATAGGAAGACATAATTTCTATGAAATCTGCAATTATAATGGAAACTGGCTTATTAAATTAATACAACAACCTGATCATTGGTAGAATTATCTTCTCCCATAGCATGGATCTTGTCAGATAGAATGTCAGAACATTGCGAATCAAATAGACCATATTCTGGAGGACATAAGATACCTAACTTTTCTTACTGATGCGTGAGTATGCATCAAATCATTAACTGTGTATTGCCCAATCAACACATCAAAACCCAGAAGTGAAACAAGAAAGGGATTCATTAAAATAAAACTCATGGAAACTGAGGTATAAAGGAAATATGAGGCTATACTTGATCAGAAAGTGATGTATACTAGAAAATGATAAATTAATGCCGAATTAATTAAGGCTTTGTTAGATTGACAGTGTGGCTGGATCACAAGGAACTTAGAAGTCCACAACTTGTAGTAGTGGTATTACACAGAGACTCCTGACATTCTATTGTGGAAGACTATTAGTCAAAATTAAACATACAATTATTAACTTACTTGTTGCTGGGTATTGGAAGAGGGCATGCACAAATAAGACAGTCATAAGGACTACCAATTCTAGCGTCACCATGGTAACCTTCTGTACACATTTCACAATGATCTCCAGTAGTATTGTGTTGACAATCCTGCAGGCAAAAAGTGAATGATTTATTATGGTGAGAGAATTTTTTGAGTCTACCTTAATTTAAACAAATGTTAAAGATTTGGGTTAAATATATAAAAAAAAGTATGAAATCTATAAACAAAGCAGTTCTCTTACTCACAATGCAAATGCCTGTTTGTTTATCACAAGATGCAGCATGGCCGTGACATTGGCAAGGAACGCAGTTACCTCCATATGGACCATTATTTGTTCTATAATAGCCAGGAGCACACTCCTCACAAGATAAACCAGTGTACTGTGGCTCACAAAGACATTCTTCAACAGATAATGCCAATCCCAGGTCGCTGTATACCTCACTTGCCGAGTCCAACAGAGGATTTTCTAATCTATAACATTTAAGATAATTACATCCTTTACCACTCCAAAAAGAGAAACATGTAGAAACTGCCATGATATAATATAAAAACAAATATATAATGTATAAAAGTTAAACTAACTAAAAGTTAAACTAATAAACTGAAAATGGCAAATAAACTTACATAGAATTTGTTGTATTTTTCCAGAATGTGGCTTTAATATAAATTCCTTCTAAATCCTTAAGTACTTGCATCAATTGCGGTCGGGTAGGTTGTAAAAATGTTGTTGATAGAACAAAATTGGATTCTATGATTTCAACAGCTACATGAAATGGACCAGCTGATGGAGGAAGCTCATATGAATAGTAAAGAAGATTCAATCCACCACCTTTCAGAATCACAGTGGGAGCATTTTCTGCTGGTTCATCTGTATACAGATATGATATTAATCATAGAACTATTCATTTGTTGATAATTAGTCATTAAGACTGAAAAAATATATAAAATAAGTACAAAGAATATAAAAGAAAAAACTTAATAAATAATGACTGATAATGTATAAAACCACAATTCAGGTTTACAACCACTAGTACATGGTAAGGCCCCTTTTTATCAAATTATTAACTTCTACCTAAAAATTCATGAATGGATTCATATCACAATCTTACAAATTTTTTATCTAACAAAATCCTCAGAAATGGGGGATTTTCTTATAGATTAAAGTAATTTAATGAGGTAATAAAAACTCATAAATACTCATTTACTTTCCATTTGAATTGTAAGATAATTTGATCACAAAATTGTTTTTTAAAAAAAAAGGTGGCCTACAAAAATATTAGGCCGTTTGGCCTTTATAACTTTGTTATTTTGACATGTTGGGGGTGAAGGTCGTGCCAAATGGCCCAATATTTTTGTAGACCACCTTTTTTCTCAATTTTGTTATCAAATTATCTTACCAGTCAAGTGGAAAGCAAATAAGTGTCCATAAGTTTTTAGTATCTAATTAAATAAATGAAGTTTGCTGTTCTCCAAATTGAAAATGCCCCAATTTCAAGAATTTTTGAAAATAAAAAAGTTGTAGTTTACAATGAGATGAAACTATTCACCAAGATTTAGGCTGATGTTAATAATTTGACAAAACGGAGTTTGTACCACGGACTATACTGTTTACATAAAACTAACTGTAAACTGGAAGTCATATCAAATTTCAATATGAGAATAATTAATGATTGAATATAATCATAAGAATAATTAATCATGATGATTGGCTGTACAACCTTACACCAAGCTTCCTTGTACATTTATACATTTTACTATAAAAAAATAAATTAATTAAAGACCAAGTTTCACTTATATATTTGCAGATTAAAGATCGTTACTGACTTAATAGAATTCAAATTGTTGAACCAAATATTCCCATGAATTAAAATGGGGCAAAAACCATTCAAAGTTCCTTCAAGTTAGCCGAAAACTAGATGTTATTTAAAAAAAAAATATATGTTTATTGGATTACCCCCTACCCTGCCATTACTGGCATGGTGTTCTAGAGGTATAACCAAATCTATTCTAACCAGAGTGGGAAGGTTCGAGATTCATTCTGTGGGTCCTCCATAAAATACAGGCCGGGTTTAAACCACTGTTGGTCAGACATGAGAATGTTAAAATTTGGCAACAATTGGTCATAATAGTATTTATTATCTTAATATTTAATTTTGCAATTTATTTATGAATTATTCATAAAATAAATATTAGTTAATTATTAAGATTAAATCACATCCTAATAAACAAGAAACGTAATATACTTACAAGCTAAGCCAGCAGTAGTTACAAGTTGATATGATAAATGGCCACCATATGAAGTCAGCTGATTCCCTAGGTATTCCTTTGGAGCACTAAAGAAGACAAATTGATTCTGCAAATCTTCTTGGATTAATGACACAGCAATGGAATTCCCTGAAGGTCGTTCAGGTTCTTTAGTAAGTGTCTCATACTCAATAATAGGTTTTTTTATAAATATTGTGTTAAGACTCCAATTGTTCATGCTAAAAATCTGAAAAATTTAATTTAAAAATATTATTTTTATTTTAGATATATCAATTGAGGCAGTAATCAAAGAAGTTCAAGTAAGGTACTTGTTTCTTTGATTTAGTATTAAGATAAAGTAAAATATATAAGGTAATGAAATTTACCCGAGATTTATAGAGCCTTGTGCTTCGACAATCCTGAGAATGACCAAAGCAAAAACATTCTGTGCAACCTTTTTTGTTAGAACCTTGAAGGTTAAAAGAACCAAATCTACAAATATCACATGCTTCATCTTCAACATTTTCTTTGCATAGGCAAGCACCAGTCACCTAAAAAAGTTGAGCATATTAATTTCTAAATAATGATATTTTGCATAAGATTAAACAAATAAATAAACTGATAGTACTAAACATTAGTCGGTCAACGTTTTCCTTTAAATAACCACATAGTCTCCATTTTCTATTTGTTTTTGTAATATGACATTTATGGTTCTTCTTCTAGTATTAAGCAACAATAAGTTAGTATTACATTTAAAAAAAAAAAAAAAATAGCTTGTCTGACAGTTTTGTAGGAAATTGAGTAATCTTTCAAATAATCAAATCGATTTCGGAAGGATGTGACTAATTTTGAATATCTTCAGAATGAGTGCTCAATCATTACATTTGATGAAGAATTGACAAAGATATAATGAGCCGACAAAAAAAAAAAACACCTTTGAGAAATAATATATAAATATACTGCAACTTCACTGTAATTTTTTTAATCTTATTTTCAATAGTTCAAATATATTTGAAACCTCTTTACACTCCTTAATCTTTTTATGTATATAAATATATTTATTAACTTTTTTTTTTTGTCACACCACACCTTTCTCATTACTTCATCATAGCCAATAATTGACTTACCATTTTTAAGACTACCCTCTCCTCTAAAACTCAAAAATAAGTAAATCCATTCGAAAAAGTAGGGCAAAAATTAAGAAGAAAATTATCATTTATTTGGTTATAACTATTTGATAAAACATCTATAGTCCATAATATGCAAGATTTCTAAATTTCCAAACCAAACCATTAAAAATTAAAAAATCTGACTATTATAACTAAGATATGGACTGCTGGGCTTTATACTCATGTTTTGGTTTATTATTTTCAATAAAGAACCTTTGTAATTGATGAAAATAAAAAAATGTCTTCTTTTCAAAATTTATTGCACTAGCTTATTTTCATATTATATTACCATTGTAACTGACTAATATACCATATGAATTATTCATTTGGACCAACTAGTAAATTATATTTTGGCCAATAAGGCTGTTGGACCAAATTCTATACATAATATGTAGACAGCAAATAGGATATAACTAACAGCTTGGGTGTATTAATGTAGCTTTTGTAGCATTTCACTATGTACACTTACTGCAGTTTATGTTTGAGGTACATAATTACACATATTTAAACCCAAAATTAGTAGGGAAAATATTAAAATCTTTTCTTTGTTAATGGAATAAAAAATTAGCAGACACAATAAATATATTATTATTCATCATCATCATATGTGGCACGACATCCCGTTACCGAGACTGGGCCTCCTCCAAGAGCCTCCGCCAGTTGGCTCTGTCTTCTGCTGCAGCTCTCCAGTTCCGTACACCAAGCAGGGTTCTCACATCATAGGCCACGTTGTCCAACCATCTCGTCCTCGGCCTTCCTACCCGTCTTACGAGGTGCAGCTCCTCCATCATTATTTTCTTTGGTATTTCAACGGTGCTCATTCTGGCTACATGCCCTGCCTACCTTAGTCTGGCCAGTTTAATATACGTGACTACGTCGATGTCTGTATAGAGAGAACTGAGCTCCCTATTTTTTCTTTTCCTCCAGACATCACCCTCCTTTACTGGACCATAAATCCTTCTGGGGACTCCTCGCTCAAACACACTCAGCTTCATCTCATCGTTTTTAGTCATCGTCCAAGCCTCTGAGCCATATGTCAAAACAGGCCTTACAAGGGTCTTGTATATGATCAGCTTGGTCTTCTTTGAGAGGTACCTACTTCTCAAGTGTCGGCCAAGTCCAAAGACACATCTATTGGCAGCCGTGATCCTTCTTTGTATTTCTTGAGCCATGTCATTTTTGCTATTAATTTCAGACCCAAGGTATATAAAACGTTTCACTCTCTCAAACTTAAAAGAACCTACCTCAAATGGAGAGTTCAGATCCACCTCACCACCAGCTCTCATATACTTAGTTTTCCTCTCGTTGACTTCTAGACCAAGTGGTCTTGCAGCTGCTTCAAGGCCTATAAACGCTTCTCTGGGAGCCCGTTCAGACCTACCTATTATGTCAATATCATCAGCAAAACCAAGAAGCTGTGTCAGGCGATTGAAGATTATATCGTTGGTCTGAATACCGGAGTCTCTTACAGCTTTCTCCTCTGCCAAGTTGAACAATAGACAGGCGAGGGCATCCCCTTGTCTAACCGCACTGCTCACTTTAAACTCTTCGGAGTCGTCAGAACCGACGCGTATTCTACATCTCGAGCTGTCCATGGTCATCTTGATTAGGCGTACGAACTTCTGAGGGATGCTTAGCTCCTCCAAGGCACAGTATAGTTGCGATCTATCAACGCTGTCGTATGCTGCTTTAAAGTCCAGGAATAAATGGTGGGTGACTACCTTACGCTCCATAGTCTTTTCTAGGATCATCCTCAGAGAGAACAGTTGATCAGTGGTTGAGCGTCCTCTTCGAAATCCAGCCTGATATTTCCCCAGTTCCTTTTCCTAATACGGGAGGATCCTCTCAAAAAGAATGTTAGAGAGCAGCTTATAAGCACACAAAAGGAGTGAGATTCCTCGATAGTTAGCGCATTCTGTTTGATCTCCTTTCTTATGTATTGGGCAGATGATGGGTGTTGCCCATTCCGTAGGCATAGCTTCCCTCTCCCAGATGGTCAGCATTAAATCATGCAGAGCTTTCTTGAGTTCTTCACCTCCACATTTCAACAGCTCTGACTGGATTCCGTCCGGGCCTGGCGCCTTTCCATTTTTCAATTTCCTCAGGGCGTTTTCCATTTCCTCCTCATCCGGAGGTTCAATAGAATTCAGGGAGTCTTCCTTCATTACTCCTACTTCTCCAGGCACCGTTCCTCTGTTTAATGCGTCTTGGAAATGTTGTACCCATCTCCTTAGTACGTCATCTTTGTGGCTTAAAAGAGTTCCATTCGTGTCTTTGCATGCCATCACTCTGGGCCTGAAAGCTGCCCTACCCTCGTTTATTCTCTGAAAGAACAGCCGAATTTCATTTTGGCCGCGCAATGCCTCTGTGTTCTAGATGTTCTTATTTTCCCAAGCTCTTCTCTTTCCGCGGAATAATCTCTCCTCTTCGCGTCTTTTTCTTCGATATGTTTCTTGGGAGAGCCTTATGGGACGCTGAACCTTCTTTCTGTAGGCTTCATTTTTCACCTTTACTGCTTGAAGGCACTCAGCATCAAACCATGGGGGCCTTCTAGATTTAGTCTCGTAGCCAAGAGATTCTTCTGCTGCCTGTTTCATTGCGTTGCTGCATCTCTTCCACTGTTCATCGACCATAGAGCTGTCATTAATTACTTCTTCATTAAGTTTCGTCTCCACAGCTTGTTGATACGAATATTGGTGGTCTGAGTCCTTAAGTTTAGCTACATCAATCTTCTTCTTTGGTCGTTGGTTTTTAATCAGCGAAATTCGTGATCTGACCTCGGCAATGCTCAAATAGTGATCCTTGTCCATATTTGCACCTCTATAAGATCTTGCATTTATCATGTTGGACTTGTGACGGGCAATAATGAGTACATGGTCTATCTGTGATGTTGTTTGCCCATTTGGAGAGATCCATGTTGCTTTGTGGATATTCTTTCGAGGAAAAAGAGTTGTTCCAACAACCAATCCGTGCAATGTAGCAAAGTTTGCCATCCGTAGCCCATTATCATTACTGGTCTCATGCAAGCTGTGGGTTCCTATGGTCAGCATGAGTGCCACCTCCTTACCAACTTGGGCGTTAAAGTCACCAAGAATGATTTTAACATCATTTTTGGGGCAGCTTTCTGTCACGCGTCCAAGTTCTTCATAAAATGTTTCCTTATCCTCCTCAGATGACATCTCTGTTGGGGCATGGCAGTTGATTAGAGAGAAATTAAAAAATTTTCCTCTAAGCCGAATGTAGTATAACCTTTCGTTAATGGGAGTGAATCGCATCACTAGCTGTCGAGCTCTGCCTCTCACAACAAATCCGGTACCGAAGATGTGATGCTTTTCATGGCAGCTATAGTAGAGTGTATGGTACTTCTTCTCCATAATTCCCTGTCCTATCCATCTGACCTCTTGGATAGCTGCTATGTCAATTCTGTATGTGTCCACTTCTGCAAGGAGCGCACGAAGTGCTCCTAGTCTATGTAATGATAAAATGTTCCAAAATCCAATTCTTAGGTCATTTAGACGTTTTCTGGGTCTGTTGACGTAATTCAGTCCGGCTTCTTCTCTTTGAGGTTTCGTAATAAGGTATTTTAGGGGGATGGGTTATCAGCCCACTGCCCCCATATTATTATTAGTATTATTATTATTATTTATATATAATATTATTTATACTTATTATTTATAATTTATTTATTATAAAATTATTTTATTTTAAACTATTTTATTGCCTCTTTCTATCAACTTTCATTATATTCCTTAATATTTATGAATAATATATCTCTCGTTCTTATTTACGCTTCCGATACGTTAGTTCAAACTTTGTCAGATAACCGTTGGAGATGACGCCACTATACATTCCCTCAATCCACCTCCATCCTTCAATAACACGAGCATTGCATCTTTACCTTAGAGCAGTCAGATTGTTATCATTTCTCTTACTTATTCTCTTTCTTATTTCAACCTTCTCAGTTTCTCTTCTCCTTCCTTTCATTCCTTTTCTCTGTTTTAACTCTTTATTATTTCATACTTTGTCTGTACATATTGATAGACTTTACAACATCTCAATTTTCTATCTAAATATTCTATTCACTATATCTTAATTTTACTATTTATTTCCATTCCTTATATAACTTCATATTTTTCTGTTTTACATTTTATTCTAAGATTCCCTTTACAATACTTATGTCACCTTTTTTGACTATGTTTACTTCATCATTCCACACTTTGTACCTGTTACTATTGTTTGTCTCTTGTCCTTACTATTTTCATTATTCTAACAACTTCATTTTACTGTAATTTTTATATTTCTCATACCTTGTTATCTGGTTCTTTTCTTAGCCCTGATGATGGCCTGAACTTCAGGTCGAAACGTCGGCATATGTAAAAATAAATATTATCATTTATTTTTGCCTTCTTTTTTGACTGACCACTCCAACTATTCTTCTCTTCATTATCCACGACAGTCAACCATTTACCAATTATGAATAAATATATTAAATTACAACTGATTTTTTAAATCAGTATCTGATCACAGGAGTTGTGACCATGCCACTATAAAACTGTATAAGTTAAATTTAATTATCAAGGGCCAGGTGTGATGGGAGAGTACTTGTGCAGGTTTGATTCCGGCCTTAACTGAATTTAGTTAAATTTATTATATACTATAGTATAATCCAAGGGTAAATTTACGACCAAGATTCTAACCAACTTAAAAAGGAAAAGATGCAAAAACACATTAAAAAAACAACAACTATATTCTATTAGAGCTAATAGTATTAATAAAAATATATTCTTGATAAAAAATAAACATACGTTACTACAAATTTCAAAAGTAGTTCCTTCGAGCTCACAATCACATCTACGACACTCAGGAAACAAATAATGACCAATTTTGCAGCTATCACATTGTCTTCCAATTACATTCTCCTTGCAACTATTAATAAAATATTAATGTTAAATATTAATCACTGACCACCCAAGTTAGTTTTTTTATGCTCAAAAATTTATTTTTCTTCTTACTTGCAGTTTCCAAGAGTTGGGTCACACTGTAAGTTTCCATCCATCAATCCAAGATAATTACATTCACATTCTCTACAGCCTAATAAAGGAAAGTAGCCGTATGTATTATTTGCACACTGATCACAGTTTTCTCCAACAACATTAGGAGGGCATGAGCATTGGCCTAAATAAACAAATACATAGTATTTTACTAACATTGGAAATAAAAGAAAAATGTATTAGGAAACCTCAAATTTTGTTAATATAAGCTATGCTGTAGAAAACTATTTTAATGGAATATTTAATACAAAAACTATTTTATTTTTCTTAAATACATCACTTCACAATGCTTTATCAAAATGATAATCAAAATGCTTTACTTACTTCACAATACAACACATAATCAAAATAATTTAAAATTTACTTTTACATAATTCTAACCTGTTACTTCATCACACAAAGAATTCTCGGGGCAGCTGCATTGTTTACATTGGGGAAATTGGTAGTACCCAGTTTTACATCTCTGACATCTCCTTCCAATTATATTTTCCTTACACTTACACTGACCCCCAAATGGCTCACATTGAAGAGTGTAAGAACCATCGGGGTGACATCGGCAATTCAGAGCTCCATTATTGAAATGAGTCGTCAATGAAAATATTGCTGAGCGACAAAACTCTAAAACATTATACAAAGCTGTTAAAATATATTTGTAAACATTTATATTTAAATATTTAAAAAACTGTACATTTACGTACCACTTGCGCTCTGATCAACATAGTACATATTTGTGGTACATTCAGTCACAAACTGATTTGTACTACCTTCAGGCTTATCTATTAAGTAATCTAGTGAGAATTTAGATTCAGGAAGTATTAATATGTAGTCCAACCAAACATCTTTGTTATTTGGTACCTGAAATTTATAAATTAAATGATTTAATTTATAATAAAATAAAAATAAACCGATTGTTTAATTTATATAAATTTATAATATTTTGTGAATCATATCGGTATGAGCATACAATTACTGATACAAAAATATATAATATGATTAATTAAAAAATAATTAAAATATTGCTGAATAATTAACCTTGAAAGTAAAAAGGTAATTTTCTGTTATTGGAATGATTTCATTTCCATTGTTCTGTTTTATTACAGCACGGCATCCAGCAGTTGATGGACAATGGGCCAATCTAACAAAACCTTCAGGAGCTAGGTCATGCATCAAAACTTCTAAATTGAAATCTAAAACAAATACAAAACTTATATAATACAAAGTTGACATAACAATAAAAATATAAAACCCAATGCCCATCTTGAGTCTCTCTATTTCAGATTTATTTCTAAAACAAATGTATAAATTTGTATGGACACTAATATCAGTAGTATCTGTGCATAATGTTTTAATGCAAAAATGATATTTATGGAAAAAATAAACTGAAAGTTTGGGAATATTCAGAGGTGCAAGTTCAATTTTCGGGTTTCAACTCATGATTCACAAAGGAATGTTCATCTCTATAATAGCTACATAATTTAGTCCATGAGGCACAACGAGAGAAAATTAGGTTTCTAGTAATACCCATGGAGAGCTGCAGCAGAAGACAGAGCCAACTGGCGGAGGCTCTTGGAGGAGGCCCAGTCTCGGTAACGCAATGTCGTGCCACAAAAAAAAAAAAAAAAAAAAAAAAAAAAAAAAAAAAAAAAAAAAAAAAAAAAAAAAAAAATGTAATACCCATAAAAATCCACAAAATTGCATTTAACACTCTTTTCACAGGTACCACGGATATAATTAATTAAATATATACTTTAGTAAATAGTTATCTGCAAATAAACAGTGTTGGGTATCATGAGGTATGCATCTCTCTCTTGGAACATGAACCCCGCTAACTGACAAAAAAATACGTTGGTATCTAACAAGACAACAGTAATGTGGCAAGTCGGCAGAACATATAGGAGAGTGTTTCAAGAGGAAGTGCATGTCTTATAAGTGACAACATCTCTTAATCTTCTTCTACAAAAAGATGCTATCAAAAATGCTTACAGGCATGGTAGAGATTTCTTAGAATGAGAAACAGCCCAATAGAGGGAAGGCAATATTAACTAAAGACATTCATGAATGGAACTGGCTTCCAGTCACTATCACCCCCCTCCCCATTACCCCACTATCTAGAAACTTTCAAATGCATCCAATCAGTCTATTGGATCTTTCAATTTCTTAAAAATAGTGAGGAAATTTTGTTCCAAATTTGCTTCCTTGAAAAGAATGATGACCCACAATTGTGGTGTTCCAGAAATTGCTAAACATACTGTCTGCACCTGCATTATGTTCGAAGCAGTGAGGGTCAAGCTAAATCGGAGTACTTTCCATAACCGCCTCAAAGATGATTTTTCTCTTCTTACTACTGAAGGTAACTATCAATCTTTTGTGAAAAGGAGAAGGAAATAGTAAAAATAGCTCATATAACGTGTGTATAACACAAAGAAGGCTGAAACTTGGCGAAAAGAATGTTCAGGATGACCACTGTCAAGAAATGAAGATGAATCAGAATATGAAAATATGATGATGGATTTCTTGAAATTAAAATAATGTAATATAGAAGAAAATATATTTTACTGTTTTATTTTTTACAGTAAAAGTAAGACTCTGTATAGCTAAAAGGTGAGACGAACAGAAAAAAAATACATGTAGACAAAATTGTTCAATTTTGAGTTATATGCTAAAGTTTTTAGAATACATTTAAACAACAAAGAGTTATATGTCAATAGTTCTGATATAACCTCACACTGCATAGGCGGTGAAGAGGAATAGGATTATGATGATGATATGAGTTCTGATGTAGACAAAATAATTATATAATTTAAGATAAATAAACACCTGGGTTATTAGGTTGGTAATAATGAACAATAATAGTATAATTTCCAGGAGCAGAAACCTTTCCACCAATGTCAATCATTGGATCATCTTTATGTAAATAAATAAGTCCTGTATTGTTGTCTTGAGTATTTGGAAGAAATTTAGATGCCTTTCGACCTTCATTTCCTGTTTCGAATTCTACCTATAAATAGAAAAATTTTATTACTCAAAGTATATACAGACATTGAAACCTAATTTAATTTGTTTAAAGTTATGATAATAATATTAGTACATGGGCTTTAAACAAATTAATTTTCAACTAATAATAAAAAAAATATTACCAGAATAATATTTCAATATTACTTTACAAAATATTTATTCATAAATATAATTTTTTAAAGTATGAAAAAGTTGATATGAAGTAAGTTATCTCAGAACTTAAAACATACTACTTATCATCTTTATCTACTTAATCCTTTAATTATGGTTGAAAATAACCATCTCACAAAAATTAAATTGTTCAATAGTTTTATTAAAATTAATATAACACAAATTTTGTTTCATAGTTTTTGTACTTGATTGTTTTTTTAAATGAAGATTCTGTGTAATTGGTTATGCCATATTTAAACCTTAATACATCATCAGAAAAGTTCTCAAACATCTAAAACTTTCATTGGAAACTTCAAGTATCTTTGGGTATTTTATATAGTCTGAGTGCAAGTCATAAATTAATTGAAATGATGGAATATCACCCTTTACTTATTCATGGCTCATAAATAGTTTAGTATTATTACTAAGTACTTTACCTTTTTAATGTGATGATCAAGAGGAGTAGTGAAGAGAGTTGATCTACAGATCCCATCTTTTATAACACATACAGGGTTGGGTTTTAAGAAATCAAAGGCAGTTTTGTTATCGAAAGGTATAACACTCACTGATTCAATACCAACTTCACCAATATTACCAAGCTAAAAAAAATTTTTCAATGATTAGGTGACATTTTTTTTTTAAATTTTATATTTTAAAATAAACTTTTCCATTATGTTGGGAGCGGGGTAGCTCTGTGGTAGGGCACTAAGCTTCTAATGCTCAAGGTTCCAGATTCGAATCTTGGCTCATGGCAGACAAATTATTTATTCTGTTTCATTGGCCGTGGGGCTTCCCTGAGGTATGGAGACCCTCCTGGGGAACACCCAGCCTCTACAAAGTGGGTACCCTTAATTAAATAACTGATTAAGGGAGAAAACTGTTGAGTGTGATTCTGGCCTGATCCCCTCTCTGCACAACCGCTGGCCTTGTAACAGTACTTTCCCTAAATAGTACTGAATCCAAGATCCTCATGGGTTGCAGTGGTACGTTTTTTTTGTTTTTTTTATTATGTTCAGAGAGTTTTAATTTGGAGCCAAATAGAGATAGTTCTTGGATTGAGCAAGCTAAGGAAGATTTTTCTGAATCCGATAAGGCCTACTAATATTCTTCTTAAAAAAATATCTAGCAATAAATAAATAGTAACTAATATTAAACTAATTAAACACTGTAGAGATTTCAAATAACATCTAAAATATTAGTATGTTATTGAAAGCTTTAGTTAAATTAGTATTATTATATTACAAAAATTTAAGAAGATAAAAATACCTCAAGTGTGACTGTTAGAAAATCATCATTAATGTTGAAAACAGCTATTTTCCCATCATTATCAAGAAACGCATAACGACATAGCCAAGTAAAAGGACAAGGAGAAAGCATAAGATGCCCTAAGTACTTTGTGCTATCTCCTTCTATTTCAATTTTAATACTCGATGTTGCATTACCATCTTCAGGGGTTCCATAATTAATTATTATGAATGAAGGTCCTTTATTTTCTGTTCGAACTTCAAAACTCAATTCCTTCTGCAGAGGTGTCAGCATGGGCAAATCCTCTACATTAGAGCCTGCCTGTAAAAAAAGTAAAATAATGCACATGCTAAAAATTCATAACTATACAAGGTATTAATAAATAAGGTAGCAAAAAGGTGAGACTAGATATCACAAATTAGTCATGCTGCAGAGTTAATTTTAGATTATAATTGCAACTAATATCTCTCCAAGTATTTCTAAGAGTATATTATATAATTTTATAAGATAGACTTGTGAATTTCAATAAATAAGTAAGATAGAATAGATTATAAAACTAATAATTACCTTTATTTGTGATAATAATTAAATAAATAAACAGTGTTAGATTTCAAAGGAATTGCTTACATAGCTCTTGTATTTTTTTTTCATGTAATAATTAATTATGAAGCTAATAATTTTTTCTTTTGTTTTTGATTTCAATTTTTCCTGTATTTTGAACTATTTTTATGTACACGATTTTTTTTTTTGACTTATTAATTTAAATCTTTTTCACAAATTATTTATAACAAGTCTTTGAGTAGAAGAAGATAGATGTTATTTATTCATAAAAAATACCACTCATACATTATTTAATCCAAAATATTATTACTACATTATAACAAAACAATTCAGTATCTTAAATATTTATTTAATAAATATGAAATTACCAAGTGAGCATTCCACTCCATTAAATCAGATGGCGGTTCCCTACCATTTTGAGTAATCAGGAACGCTTTGTTTCCATAAGCTGTATCATACTTTTCAATCCTTGGGTAAGCATAATGTTTGCATAAAGATTTGTAACCTTTTTTACAAGGTTCTCTCACAGCATAATCAATAAGAACATTACCTTCAAAATACGACTGAGGGAGTAATACAAAATAATCCTAAAAATAAAAATAAAATAAATTAAAAAAAAAATTGATTGAGAAAGGAAAACTTAAATTAATCTTATTTATGTTCGTTTCACTTGTTTGACAATGATGAAATAAATAAAACGGTTATTTCAGAAACGACATTTTTTAAATTTTAAAACCATGAAAAAAACTATCACATACTGAAATATTCATTAATAACAATAAGAAAATACTATTAATACAAAAAATATATTGTGTAAACAATCAATCTTTGCACTATGTATATAATCTGTTTTCTTTTATTAAAAATGAGTCTATGATCCATGTATGCAGAACTAAGTCCCACATTTTAATGTTTTAACCTTCAGGATGCATTATCTGCAGTGTGTATTAGGAATTCTAATAGCCTAATTTTACTTGCGACATCTGATATTTATCACATTTTCCATGAATGATCATTAGACTGTCATTTTATAGAAATTTGTTTTCTTAATGCATTTGGATAATCGTTACCAGCAAAAATCACAGAAAACTTTCGAAATTTTGTAAATCTGTACTTTTAAATATATCAAGTAAACCTAACCCTAATATTAAATCAACATATTGCTGCATAATTTTGTAAAAGTTAATTAATTTTGTAAAAAATACTTATTAATATTTAGTTTAGTTTTACATGTGTATACAAAAAGCAATGTACTCACGACAAACAATGTACTGTTAACAATGAACTCCATATCCCACTTTCCCTGCGAAGTTGTGACAAGTGGTATAGGTATTGTGGACTTTCCAGCACCGGTGGCAATGGCGAAGGCGGGTTGAGAAGATGGCTTAAAATAAATCTTACTTTCTAATGGGTCTTCATCCTCATGTCTGGCACGAATAATACCGACAACTGTCTCATCATTTCGATTAACGTATCTCATTATGACATAATGGATTGTATCTGCATTGATATCTACTTGATATTTTATAACATTCTGAAAAATAAAATATTCAGATATATAAAATAATAAACATATCATTTGGTATTAAGTTTTACATTCTTAAATCTATAATTGATCAAAATTTTAATTCACTGATTATCAACAAAATTATGAAGATGCAAATCAATCATGAAGGACATTAATTAAAAGAATTATCTATCAGATCAAAAAAATTATTTAATAATTTATTAATTTTTTATCCAATAATAAACAAATAATTAAAAATGTTCATTTAATTCTATTAATAAAGCCAATAAAAGTTCTTACCTGAGTTGAACTAAAAACTGCATAACCTCTCCAAGAAAATCCAGGAAAAACAGATTCTTCATATGCAAAACTCACAGGATCTCCTGGATAACCAGGGGTAAAACCATCTTCGAGCTCATATTGGAATTGATAAAGTGTAGGAAAATAATGTTGTCGCATGGGTACATTACAACTTCTTCCTTCTATTCTTGGCCTACATGTGCAAGCTCCCGTTTCTTTGTTACAATTAGAATCCAAAGCTCCACCAATGTCACAGTTGCAATCTAATAATTAAAACAATTTGCTTTAATTTAAAAACAATACTTTAATATAATTTTTAAAATGTTATTATAACAATATGTACATTTACAGATTTAATTTAAATCTGTCTAGAAATCAATGTCAAACTATCAAATGTTTAGAAATCGTAATTGAATAAAATAAGATGAATGTAAGTTGAAAAAAAAAGAGATTAGTTTTTATATTTATCACTATATTATCAACTATTATAAAAATCATTTTACAAATGCTAAAAAAATATAAAAACTGCAGCAAGTAACTTGGATTTCAATATCAGAAATTAAATAACAATATTCTGAAAATGAACAAATAGTATTATGCCTGTTGAGGATGGTAAAAACATCAAAGGTCAAAAGTAGCAGTTTTATCAGAAAGCCAATTGAATGAATAGTAGTTTACAATAAATCAGTATTTCTCTAGATCACTTTACATGAAATTTAATGACCTTCCACTTCATTTATACTTCCTGTTAAGAAATCAAAATAACGGATGTATTGTGGAAGAATGAGCCTGATAATAAAACGTAACCAATAATTTTAGAATAGTGAATGATTTTTTTTTTTTTTTCTGTTCACATTACTGACCATATAGATCTTTTGCCGCTTTAACAAGCCTGCTCCATCTTTGCCTGTCTTGGACTATTTTTTCCATTTCTCTGCATGCAGCCCTATTCATAGTGAATAGATTACCTGTTTAAATGTGATAAATATTTAGGCAGTATTGTTTTCAAAATTTTAAATTTCATGACATTGATATGGACTGCTCCTAGATGACTTAGTGCAAGGATAAATGATAGGATTAATTAAAAAAAATGTTCAACCTTTTTTTAAAACTTTTAAAGGTGCTATCAAAAATAAATGATGGTGCCATATTCAACTATATAGTCTGCTATACAGACCTCTTTTTATCAAATTATTAATACTCCTCTAAATCTTCGTGAATGGCTTCTTTATATCATAATCTACAACATTTTTATTTATGAAAATGGGGCATTCTCAATCTGGAGATTGGTAAACTTTGTCAATGAGGTACTCAAAACTCATGAAAACCATTTGCTTTCCACTTAAATTTTAAGATAATTTGATAATAAAATTGAGAAAATAGGTGTACCATTTGGCTTGACCTCCACCCTGAACATATCAAAATTAATTTTTGAGAATGACAAAAATAAAGATTTCTTTGACATATAGAATTTCAGACAACTATAATTTTATGTTTACATAACTAATTATGGAATCATAGTTCTCATATATTTACCTGTACAACCAAATAAATTATCTCCTTGAAGATTATACGATCCATCAACACAAGTATCACAACCTCTTGATTCCACATTTTCTTTACATAGACATTGGCCTGATTTTGAATCACAAACACCTACCCCTCCGATAATACCATCAGCATTGCAATTGCATTCTAAACATAAAATAAAATATACATATGTAAAAAATAAAATAACCTCTACAATATTTTATAAATGGTATTTGGTGGCTGGCTGTGTATAAAAAGCAACAATTTCTTAGAAAGGGATCTGTCAGAAATGCCTGTCAAGTAGTGACTGGAGATGGGCTGTTCTGACCATCAGAATGGCTCATTCCATACTATCACAGGAACAGGTTCCATTTTTTATTCTGTTCCATCTTCATTCTGACCTCAGGATAAGATATTTTGGCCAATGATTTTTGTTCCATTCCATTTTCATTTCAACCACATTATGGAAATTTATCATGAGATTGTTTATCATATAAATGTTGAGCTAAGGGATGATGAAGATGTGCATTTAATTTTGAGACATAGATTATCAAAAGATCTTCCCACCTCATCCTTAAAGATGGCTCTACAGACTTGGCACAGATACCTTCGACTGGAAATGTTCTGAAAGTTTCTGTGCAAATTCTAAGAGTTCAATTTAGACAGAATCTAACATAATAAATATAATAAGGAATAAATATAACATAACAGCTTTTTACAGCCTTTACCATAGATTTGAGCTTCATATTCAATTTTATTTCCTATTACATTCTGCGAAAATTTTTAGAGAGCATGTCTATCAGCTACCAAGCTTGGATGTCAGATGTGCTTTAGAATAACTAGCCTTTTTGTGCATTTGTTGCTTAAACATGGTAAAGAGACAAAAAAGAATGAAAAGGAAATTAAAAATAATTTGTAAAACTTTCAATATTTTTTGTTTTATTGATCAACAGTTATTTGATTAAGATAATTAAGTTTGCATCTTTCTGGATATTGTCATCTTAGTGTTCTATTAGGATTTAAAATTTTAATTGTATAATCACGAGTAATTCAATTATATTTTAATCTAATTGAGTTATTAATTTATTTAGATAAATCTACTTCTGAAGTGAGTAACCCATTCCATGAATTACCTGCAGAGGCTCTCCCTGAATTTCTATAAATATCTTTTTTAATAATTTTTAACATAAATAAA